TAGGTAATGTCAGTTCATGATGAAATCCCTAAATCTAGTTCCTAACCCTAACCATCAAATGTAAATCATAATTCTGATTTCTTACATTGCTTTATAGTCATCATTAAGTCCTAGTTAGCAGATGGATGTTCTCATGGTTAGTTTAACGTCGCTCAAAGGTCGTCCATATATTATTGTTTCACCCAAATAGTTTATAGCAGCTCACATGAAGTTGAGCTTGTTTACATTTAATTTAGTGGAGCCGTTTTTTGTTAACTAATTTAACAAGAACAGTCATTCGTACAATAACAAGTTATCTTATATCATTGTACCTTTATTATTGTTGCACTTGTATGAATATGTATACTTCAGCACTGTTTACTGCTTATGCATATATTCACTCTACTGGCCTTACTATCAACCGCTCAATTGATTCAATGATTCATTCATTTCACTATATATATGTACACTTTGATCCTGTTCATTGACTGGCTCATTCAACTCGCTTGTCCGCCTGCTTTTTGGCACTACTCTTTCATGCTTGTGTAGAGTACTTGTAATTTTGGTGTTCTGTGTGTGGTGCAATAATAAACGTAACCAACACTTCGTATTCGTTTTCTGATTAACTCACCGTTGGGGTGTTGTCTAGTGATGGTTATCAGGACGAACTGTATACGAAGTTTAAGGATTATATTGAATACCGACCACCACACACTTGTCAACCATCTATCAACATTCCCATCGAATCACTAATGCGTAGAACTCGTCATCTCAATACGTGGATGAATGTGTACTGACTGACACAAGGGGAAGTTTAAGATAGACCGCCATTTCAAATATCGTGATTTGAAAATGATGGCTTCTACGAACTTCATGTTCAGCTAAGATCTTGATATTAATCTAATGTTAACCAATATGCATGGTTGATAATTACCGTAAACGAGAGGATATATTGGCGAACAATGTACAAATGGATTACAATTATTTCTGGTATCTATCACATGTACGTTACTTCATCCCCAGATTTAAACATGAGTATATGACAGCTATCATTCACTTGTTTTTACAAACACCATAAATTCAACGAAGTGCTTTGATACGCCTACTGTTATTGACACAGGTCCCGTCAACTTCAATATCCCGCTTCATAATCTACTTTACATGTAAACCCTGTGCTTACGTGCAGCGAGCAATAGAGGTTTACTTTTCCGCATTTCCGCAATTACACTGACATTTAAAACAAATATCATTTTCATGGAACAGTCTAACTGCACATAATGGGTTAATAAGAATACTATGAAAAACTAAATCTATAAATGTAAACACAGTATGTTGTAATATTAAATAGCCTTACCGTTTGACTTAGTAAATTATTAAGTTCAGTTTTCAGCACTGCATATGTGATCACGTTAGTGTGCATAAGATCGTTGTTCATGAAATAATGAAATCGATTTCTTACTTAGTTATTCGTGATTCATCTTGCGCACAGTCCATGACGACCACATCTGTATTTTACGTGTCATCTATTATATCCATGAGCTGATCTAATTTCGAGATAACATCGGCTCTCCACTCCATTCTTGTGCATGCGAATAAAATCGGACGACCGTGACCGGAGTTATCAATTGTCACCTTTTGAAACAATGAATACTTCACAGTAAAATTTGCAAAGCAACATCCTCGTTTCTCACTATTGGTTTTGTAAGTAGAATCTTTACCGACAACTTCCAGTTATTGTTGGTAGGATGCTATCTCATCCTAGATACAGATGCAGATCCTACTTACTAGTCTCTATTTGGAAGAAGATTCTTTCAGTTCGCCACTTATTTCAAGAAAATGAAGGCTTTCAACCGAGAACCATAACCTAAAAATATAGGAATACATACACAATTGTAGACATTTGAGCTTTCATTGTCTTCATTCTGGTTATAGTGACTTCATGGCCAGCCTCTCTAACACATTCGATCGCTTGATCTAAGAATGTTGACTTGAACAGTGCTGTCCTTAGATTCTTCTTATTCTTTGAAGCAAATCGCTTCGTCAACGGATCATCCAAAAACTTTCACTAGAATGATTTCATCTCATCGGACGTGATTTCATCACTCAATCAACCTGTTGAAGGACCGCATAGATCATTGAATGCAAATTCGTAAACTTAGATCTGAAATGGAATTTTAAATTACCGTCCTCACTGTTTAGTAATGATTCCTAGACCTTGTGGTTTACGTTTAAGGTCAAGAGTATACTTGGATCTAAGGTCGCTTATCCAGAACTTCCCATAGGTATATAGTGAGTGCGATAAATATAAAACACATTTTATATATATATATATATATATATATATATATATATATATGTGCTGGAATTCACTCAACGCTGATCCGAATTCCACCTAAATCATGAACCGTCTGCTCAGAATAATACACCTGAACTCATCAGTTAGGTCAACCGATGGGTTTCTGGGACAGAAAGCACGACAAATGAGACTGTCAGTAGAAGACGAAATAAAAAATGTATAATTGTGGAGCAACACACCAACCGCAGTGCAGAAGGTACTATTAACGATAAAGGGGAACGATAACAGTTCTCAGCTCACTGATCGTGATTCATCTTTTTAACCTCGAATAGAACCAGATATTGCATAGTTTATCAGCATGCAGAATTGTGTATGATTATTTTTATTCATATTTTTTACTTATCTGGCTATATTGAACTATGAAAAATTATTCAGCCGTTATTTTCTTATAAAATGTCAAACGGCAGTAACCGAATTGAGGTTTATGCCAGAAAATACAAAAGACTTTGTTTATTATTTTGGTAATAAATTTGATGGTTTTCAGATATCAACACTCTACGTGACTGTGCCAACAACTGAGGACCAAGCCAACCTACACTTACGCAAACGACCTCTAGCAATTTGAATTCGGAATACCCTCTTCCATTCAGACACTCAAAGTTGACGGAAGGGTATGCGCGGTCCAGTTTGAAAGTCGATTACTTTTCTCCCGTGTCCGATATTTAGGTGTGGAAAGAGACGGATTGTACTTAACTAATGACCTATCAGTTTGACCAGCATCTTGGTTAAATTCCTTGAAAAGATTAATAGGGTTATGTGAAGATGCGAAAGGTGCTTCTAGAATGACAAGACTTCAACCAGTAACACTTACTATGTATCGTGCCCGCCCAATAAAATCAAAAGTCAGAAGCAAGGAGGTTCGGATAAATATATGATAAACTATTAATATATCAAGAAACGACTTATCTAACTGGCTAGCGGTTGCAGGGAAAATTGAGCACGTTATGCTCACTAGTGATCTGATGCAGATGCATGACCGAGCATCTTCAGCTAGCTGAGTCCATTAAAACTATCGTGGTCAGCATCCAATGTCGAATACCTGCAGGGCAATTTATTTACCGCTAGAGATCACACCCACCTAGTTGTGTAGTGATGACCCTAAGACGTGGTCAGCCAGAAGTTTAAACCCAACGAGTTTGTCATTGGTAAACACTCTTCTGATAGCTTGCTATAGTGAGCAGCGTCGGATCGTCTTTCCCTACTATAAGGGACCATGTAGTGCAATATAATAATGAGGAAAAAAGGTACAATGAAAATTTCGGTCCATCGCAAACTTTGCCCTTCTCTTTTCGTCTTTTTCAGCCGTCCTGGAAAATCGCCATGAACAGGCCTCTCTTCTAAATACACTACTATGATGCTACTGTTGTCGTTAGTTCCGTTTTTACCGATGACATAGTAGTTATTTTCAGACTAAAGTACTTTGAAGGGTCCTTCGTATGTTGATTTGAGAGGCCATTGAAATGAGTCTCGACGTACAAAGACGTGTGTATTATATTGTAAGTCAGGTTGAACGAAAACATCAGTTGACTACGGTCGAGTGGAAACAGGTCTAACTGAACTCATTGTGTTTGTAAGCTAGCTTGTGTAGGAGCTAAGACCCATACCCGTTGAATATGATGAAGGATCAACGATGTGAGATTCCATAAACGAGCCGGCCTACAATGCATCCAATTCCAGCTTTCATTGGATTGGCAATACAATGTAAAACGAGTGGAAGGGCGCCGGCTGACTGTGAAACGTTTACATTCCATGCAGTCGTATGATTATACTATCAGTTGAAATCAAAAGCACCCAAGCTCCCATGTTTGGGGAAGTTTCGTGAAAGCCGCTATACTAAACTTTGGGTAAATTTGGGTTTTTTTGTGCCATTTCCCTAAAATTTCCTTAGATCTGGGGGTTTCCACAAAGTTGTGAGCTTGGGCATTATCCTAAGTATAATTTATTTGCTAACAAGTTTAAGGACGGAATAATGGAAGTTGAACAGAAACCAATGAGAAAAATAGGGCGCATACCACTCAATAGTACATTGAAATCACGATGAGACTATAACTTATGGACGACCATTGAGCAACGCTAAGGTGACCTTGAGAGTGTCCGCTTGATAACTAGGACCAAATGAAGGTTATAAAACAGTGTGCGCAATTAGAATTATGATTTGCGGTTGACGGTAAGGGTTAGGAATTAGATTTAGGGTTTTCATCGCGAAGACTTATCAAACGACTTAGTGTGTAATAAAAACAATGTACAACACAAGCTTCAAGGCTAATCAAAACCAAACGATTTTTGCGCTTGTTTTAGTATGTTTTCAAGTATTTGTGGTAGTCCAATGGAACGTACGTAGTCTACACTCGACTACAGTAAACAAGGTCCCAACATTGAGGAAATTTTTAGGAAATCCATGACTATTGGGGAAATATCCAATGTTTAAAGAAATCCCAAGAGTTTGGGGAAATTCTGTGGAAAATCCCTAAATCATGCGTAGCGCATTACTACAAAGTAACTTTTCATATGGAATGCATCAATCAAGCTTAACACAATAAATTTTATTGAGTAATTGCAAAATGTTATACAATACAGACTTTTTGATAGGAATAGTCTATCGAATTCGAGGTCTTGTTTTAATGTGTCAACGGACACGAGTTGTCGACCTTAAACCACTTTTTGAAAATCCGAACGCTATGCAAGTGAGTTATCTGCACTATAAAAGACTTCGATTACCGTTTATGTCCATTCTTACTGCACTGAATTGTCTCTTCCAGAAAAATAATTTATATCTCGAAGTGATTACGAGAAAGGGTGCATAAGCCGCTAAAGTCCTGAGTTCGTTGGGCTGTCCCAGATCAACGCTTTACAGAAGGTTACCGAAGTTAAAAGCTGAATTTATCAAAAAGTATCAGTTAACGAGCAGTGACGAACAGGACGAGAATTCAGTTATCGTCTTAGAAGTAGGGACCACCACAGCTACGGAGCAGTGTACTAATATTGTCTCATATAGCTGCTGCTTCATGTAGTTACGTCGGCGAGACTCTAATTTAGAGACGCACCTTGAACGAATGTTAAGTGACCTTGACAAATAATAGACAATCAGAGGACAGCATAAAGGAAAAATATATTATAAGAAGGTAATGAATTGCAGTGGATGATTTAAAAACTTGTTAAGGTTTGATAAAGGTTCAGAAGTCTTGAAATCATAATGCATACGATATAGAAACTCGTCCATATGGCTCCGTAACAGTCGTCCTCTAGAGCTGTGGTATGGTCTTAAAAATTCCTTCAGTCTGGACCACATAGCTTCAATATTATTAGTATGGACGACGGTTGTAGGGTCGACGAAATGGCGCTTGTGCACTACTACATGATGGACATATCCAAGTCTATGTAGGCACCTACAAGCTCGCCAATCATCTGTTTATACTGCTGTGCCCGGCTGCACATAATCCTGTATAGTTGGTATTATTGTGTTTGCTTACCGGTTTCTGACTCTTAGAAAATGTCCCTTTTGCGTTGATCGGTCATTAATTCCAAGTACCTGTCTAGTATATTTACGGAAATGCTACTTACCCATTCTTCCTTGATACTACGTCCCCTATTGTATTTTCGCTTTCTTACTACCGTTTTATCTATCTCCACAATGCAGCCTACTCCGAATGATTGGCGTAGACGTGTCATTTTACTTGCACATTTGTCACGGCAGCACTCATACCACTGGGCTGCTGACTTTTCAGTAACATCTTCAAACGCCTTAGCCAATGTCACTGGTGACTTTATTACCCAATTTGCCACTGTTATCACGATGCGCCTTAGTGTCAGTCGCGATCGAGAAGAAAGTCCTCGTTTGAGCGGACATTTTCCGCCATCATGAAGAACAACGAAACACAATCTCACCACGGTGGTCTGCACAGTTTGCTGCAGTCATTTGATAACCGCAGTCGCACGTACAAGAATTTCTTAATAGTCCCATTTTTTGTAGCCTCAATAATCACCTCTTCCCTAAAATTCGCCGTAAACCGATTGTATTTTAGCATCACGTGTTGAACTTGTGCGTGCGACTGCGGTCGTATAATATGTCCATTAGTTAGTAATATATTCGTAGTTTGGATCTACAGTGGTGAAGTAAAACCATCTGATTTCAACGACATGTCTGCAGCACTTATAACCGAGTTGCAAGAGTTGTTGACAGTAGGCATTAATGTAGATAAATATCAGGTGCATTTAACAGTTAAATTAGTTACTGTTATTTGTGACGCTCCAGCTAGCAGTAACGTCAAGTATGTTGTGGGACACTACGGTACCGCTGGCTGCGAAAAATGTCAGGTTTTAGGGACACAAATGGGTGGTCAAACGACTTTCCCCAATGGTGAATACGATTTGAGGGCTGATGTCACTTTACGTAGTAGGTCCCAATCTATCCATCATCGTGGTAGTTCATTTTAAAATCTGCCAGTGGATATGGTAAAATGTTTCCCCTCTGAACCGATGCATATGATATACTTAGGTGTTACTAAAAAACTTATTTCATTATGGAAGGAGCTAGCTATTAAGCGACTTAATAGGATGGATCAATCTATTATCGCATCAATAAATGAGGCACTAGACTTATCTAGGCAGCACACTGCATGCGACTTTCAACGCAAATGTCGCTCACTACATGAAGTTTCCGTATGGAAAGCAGCTGAATGTCGGTTGTTCTTACTGTACTTAGGACCTGTAGTTCTTCATAATAGGTTACCACTGTCAGAAACTTCCACTCTCTCTCCTTGTCAATGTATTTCTTATCGCACCCTAAGTTGCACACCACATTCGCAAACAGTGTTCGGGTTTATATTAATAACTTATTATTTTACGAAAAGTGTTACGGTACCGAACACTGAATGTACAATGTGCATAGTTTAAAGCACATTGCAGAGGACGTTATAGAACATGGCAGTTTAAAGTCGTTCTCTGCCTTTCCTTTTGAATCATACATGAGGAAAATTAGGCGTTCAGTACACTGCGGATTTGCTGCGGCTAAACAAGCTGAACAGCGATATGCCGAAGAACTTTACTTTCAAAGTATACTGATATAAGTAAAATGCTTAGAATGATCATAAAAGCGGTCGATGAACTGTGTACGAAGATTGATAAACTTATCGCTTCCAATGAACGCTTATCCATGGGTGTAAGCGACAGGCGTACAGAACAAACAGATACGGCAGCTATTGTTTTCCCATTGAGAACGCATGAGGAGTTGTTTGTATAAAATCATTTAGACGAGTTGCTATGCCGAGTGTCTGCTGATTATGTTATAGAAAACCCTTTGGTTTGTTAATGACGCAAAATTGATATACCTTGTCAAATCTCTCCATATCGACTTGCCTTGACAACCTTTGACTGGTCGTAAGAGATACTTGAAACAACTCCACATGGCCTCAACATTGTTAGTGTACCCCCGTAAAAAAATCCACAAAGTACCATTTGTCATCAAAGCTATGATAACATCCGAATTCATGGAGTTACCGATTAGCCCTCTAGTTATCTGTGTATATTTTACTAGGCAGAATATGTTTTCGGACCAGTGGTGTAAAGGTTTCGGCTGAACAATCCCTCATATTTTTCAAGTACATTTTTCATGTTTATGTCCTAAATCTCAAAAACCTATCACAGTCAAATGAAGCAGCTACTTACCCAATCTTCCCTTAGTTTTTTCTGTTACCATGCTTTTTTTTCGTATCATGGCTTTATCTACTTTCACTATGATACTAATACCCTCCAAAACAACGGACTTGCGTCTTGTTTTAGCAGGACATTCCTCCATATTAGTGGGACTATGGTATACCTGCCATTTGGAAACTTATAAGTTGTGCAGCTGTTGTAGCTTCTATATCAATTATTCCGTTAGCGTCCACAAACAATTTTTTCAAACTTAGTTTGGAACGAATGATCAGTGAGCTTGTTCAAATAGATTTTCTACGACAAAAGACACACCATCATAACATAAATCCATCTGCAGTTCGTATATCACTATCAAATTACTTATTTACTAAAGTGATCGTTAACAAACCGCCTACTTCACCTTATCCAGTCAACAATTTCGTGGGGCTAAACCAAAGTTGTAACTTGGATTCAACGCCTTAAGAAGCTCAAAGTTGTGCAACATTTAGCTTCACAGATTCCTCTGCATAACATCATCTGGCTTCGCAAAGTTTTATAACTGTGTTAAAATCAAGTAACAACAGCAGTAAACTACAAGTACTGCAATTAGAAAATGCGATATTAGGTAGCTCTTATTCACCTAAGGGTTAGAATAACTAGTTCAGTCCCTGTTTAATATCTGTGAATTTAATGTACTAATAAATAAAGGGAAATAATGTATCAAAATTATAAAAAGTTTGGTAAAATGAAACATTCGAGTATCACTTACTTATTCTTTGCTTTATTTTCATCCTCTATATCCATCACAGTTTTGTTCTCCTTTTCCTCACAAGCCAAAACTAGGTTTTCACAGATTCCTAATACTCCATTATTCCCTCCGTATTCTGTTAGGTTAGTTTATACCTCAGTAAATGTTTGTTGAATTAAACTCAATTCATGTTTCTGTTGGAAATTCGGATGTATGTATCAGCATTTTCATATGTTCGAAATAATAAAACGCCATACAATTAAATTATCTTGTATTTGAACTTGCATCATGGTGCCTTTTTAGACAGAACATTTTAACGGTTAAATTATTAATCCAAAGCTAGAAAGACATTGTATTGTTACTCTAGTGGAATCTACAGCGTGTTTCCTCCCACGAGATTATCAAGTCAGTTCTGATTAAAGTGAACGTAATTTACAAATAAATGATCAACCCCTATTCATGTTTCGTCTTAAATACGGCAATTAAAGTTTCTTGCTGTCGTTATCGATAAAAGTTGGAATAAGCTAGGTCGACAATATAAATTCATGTACATTTAACCTTAAATTCACTTACTGTAAAACTCAAATGCTTACAAAATCCGTTCGTTGGCATACAGTTTTATATTTCTTGAGGCTAACATTTCTCTTGTATCTGGGTGTGGCCCCCCTTGGGAAACCACCCTCTTCGATCTGGGCACCCGGGCAGTATCACAGCCCATACACAAATCAAATGACTTGTGTGGCGCATATGTGTTTGGTGCCCCTTTGTACCAATATTTGTGTTCAAATAAATAAATTCTGTTGTATCTACGTACCGTTGTCTATACATTATTCTGTTTGTCATAGTACTTATAACCACGTTGCTATCTTACAAAATTCTTAATACGATCAATTTAATGCTTTTATTTATGAATATTGAGAGCAATCCGATGTTTTGTGAGATACCTTGTTCTTTTAATTGTGTTCTATATTTTGTGCGTAACTTGATTATCAAAAAAGTATTTAAGTAGTTGCTCTTAAACAAAAAATAACATTCATAATTTGTGCATACGAAGGTAGCTTAATTTTAGTTCAAAAATATCTTCATTTTATGGCACATTACATTTTTCTTTCATGGATTACCAGAAAAGTTATGTGCCTATTTTACTTCGTTCTTGAGATTTCGGACAAAATGTCACGTTTAACGTCTCAAATTTACTAATTTTTTCAATATACAGGTCTTGAAAAGACAGCACATGTGATTTTTAGTGTATAAAGTATGTGAGTAACTAAGAACTAGTGTCTAATGTAAGTTAAACAAAAACATAAAGGAGCGATAACTCATATTTCCACGAAGGTAAAAAATGTAACTGTGAGGAAGGTAATAGTAACTTTTATAACAGTGCAAATGATTTGGTGTTATTCAAAAGACAGAAATAACCCGACAAGTAGTTTACTAACTGAATAAATCTCGAAATCTCATCCGAACAGATTTCGAAGGGCAAAACAACTAATCTCTTTATGTTATCAACAAGGTAACCAAGATACTATGAATTATCAATTTTTTATAAAAATTAATAAAACTAGCTGGTTGTCGGAATCACAGTAAGCGTAACGAGATTCTAACAGCTTAGTAACTCCTTCATACTTGAAAGAACTGTGACTAAGCGATCCTAGAACATGACTTTAAACTGTTAGATCACTTGCTGGAAATGTGTGTCGATAATTTTCGTGAAATAAGTGTATCTATCAGTTTCATTTGTTTGATCGTATTACTATGTCATATGCATATGAAAAATAATGGATCATAGTCGGCAAAAACACTAACGTTAAAACCCTTGAAGTGATTAATGTTGGTCTCGGTCCCGTTTAACGCTTTAAATATGCTTGTTCGAGTTCAAAAGATAGGATTTTTAGTGCCTCAGTTAGCTTAATTACTAAGAGTAATATTTTTAAGTATGGTTTTGTTTTTCAGCATCCGGTTCTTTAATTTTTTTTCTGTTCAACTTTGTAATTTTCCAGGTTTATTAATGAATTTACCCAAGGGACCAATATTTTCAAATGACTTTTCGTAAAATGGTCCCATGTTTCATTCGTTCTTATCAAGTAAGTTGACTCAGGTTCTAAGTGTTTAAAGGATGCCATACATGAACTTAACAAGTCTATCAAGCTGTCGAATTACTTAACACCGTCAAATCCAAGGCTTTTGAAAGAACAAAGGTATGGGCTGTCCGCTGTTTATTGCTCTGCTGTTGGAATTGAAGTATGCTCAAGAATTTGCTCAAGTTATTTGTACAACAGGATCAGCAACTACGTGACTTACATGTTATACATGTTACAGGGTCTAAAGGCAAAGGTTCAGTTTGTTCAATGGTTGAAAACGTCTTACAGAAATCCGGATTTCTCACTGGGTTTTTAAGGTTAGTGTGTGTATACATTCACCTTTTATGTTTTTGTAGTCATTATAATCAGAATGCGATTTTTAGGCAGTAACCAGTTTATTTAACTGCTGGAGCCTTAACAATTGAATAGTCTATTTTTTAGTGACGCCAGAAGTGTTGGATCTAAGTAGTTTTCTTCGAGAAACGTTTTAGTCGTCTTTCCAAACTTCACTTCAATAATTACTTGTTTGGTCACCGCCATCATTTGTCATCTCAGTGCGTGACTTTAGGTTTTCATGGAGTATTTATTTGGACGCTGATCACAAGTTACTCTGATTGTCAATGTTCGAGCCTGAATAAAACAAGTATCTGATAAGCTTCTCTATGTTATATTGGAGCATTTCCTGTGTATTCAAGAAGTTGCTAAATAGTTAACAAAACAAGAAAACTGCTCTTTCGACTTACTCTGGTGAAGAATTTAGTAAAAGTAATAACGATATAATCGAAAGTTCCTCAAAGCCACTGAATCTCCGTGGAGCCACCCGTATAATCTGACTCATAAAGTTCGTTTTGGCTGACTTGTATCACATTGGAAAGTAGTCTTAATAAAACTCCAACTAAATAACCAATCGATGTCTTCATTCTAGTTATCTATACTAATTATGACTAACATTATTCACCGGAAAGCTTAACTTCTCCCCAGATCAATCAAGAATATTAAGTCATATTAGATTGTTCACCTTCTTTTGTCAACTGACACCACATACGGGGCCATCAAGTGATCAAAAGGGCTGTGTTATGTCAACTAATCCTATATGTGTATACTTTTGTTTTCTTTAAATAGCTCTCCTCACCTCATAAACGTTGAGGAAAGAATACGGATAAACGGACGGCCCATATCCCGTGATCACTTTGCTAGTTTATTTTGGGATGTGCATGGAACACTTCTTGAGTTTACAGTGAGTCTCACGTTGTTTGCAAATGTCTTATTAGCTATTACTGCCTCTAACTAATCTGTGATAAATATCTGATTGTAACTAATCAAGAAAATAAGTTGCAAATTTCAATTTAAGGTACATCATAGTCTTCAAATCAGTCGTATATCAAAATCGGTGAAGCCAGAGGATCGTGATTGAGCAAATTTTTAGCCACTTAGTACCAATGAATGAAATGTGAAAGTCCTAAAAGATTCTTATATAGATTTTGTATACGATTTAAAGTTCCTGCTATAATAACTTTTGCTATTTGGATTTTCGAGTGTATTTTTGTTGACGTCCGATTCTCATTCTGATTTAGGACCAGTAGAGTAAAATATTATGCCCATTTGATATGGTTTAAAATAGGTATATATATATATATATATTAACACTTCATATTACTCTATATTTGGAGTATAATTAGTTGCTAGTGATCTGTGTGGGTCCAGTCCAAACTAGCTTCATATACTAGCTACCAGTAATCCCAGATCTGTCGTATAGTACAGTAATAAGTTTGGGAAGCAGACCAAGACGGTTTGAGTCTATAAACCATCGAACTGAAAAGTATTGGTAGGTACAAACTGTCTGAACGAGGTCTGTTCTACTATCGTTGCCATTGATTGGGAATGTTGAATCACAAAAGTCATGATCGATCTCAATGATATAGATTTATTCAATCTTTGCCTTTTATGAACGTGGTCGTGCTTGCATATCGTGATGACTTAATCTGACTACATTGGCTGGACCACTTGTTTCATTAGGTCCTATCATCTCTTTCAGGTCAGTTGGAGGACGTTAAAACTAGGAGTAGCAACTTGAAGTCTGAGGGTGAAGCCGTACTGCTGACGACTGTATAGGGGTATGATAGTAATGATGCTCTAGAAACAACAAATTTCACCTTGTCCCACAGATTTTCATCACCGATGGGGAGATCTGAAAAGTATGTTGGAGTATCTACAACTGTTTATTAAATGGTTGTGTGTGATTGGTTTGAGTCAGTTGTCCCTTATGTTCTGCAGTCACACTCTCTAATCGTAAGGAATCCAGTTTTCTCCTCAGGCATTTTGAGAAGAAATGTCCTTCCACGATATGGAGAACGGAAAAGTAACAACCATCCTCATACCTGTAACAACAAATGAGATTACCTTGTTGACACTGAGATCCCTTTGAGACTTCTTAATATTTATTTTTTCTTCATGAGCCTCTAATGCTAAATAGTTCTGCTGACTGAAAGCTACTCTAGGTCCTTTGAAACGACTCTCTAAACTACACGTCGGATTATTGCATGTCCAAACCTTGTGTCAAGTCGGACAACAGGCTTCACCACTATGATCGTAGAATATTTCGCCATTAATGTGTGCTGTCTCCGAAACATACATACAGTATCCCAGTGTGTTCGTTAACTTGATCTAAACTAGATAGTATGGTGAGCCAATGCAATCTACAGTTCATGCCTCTAGAGATATGATAGGAACAGGGACATTTTGCCCGTATTCATACTTATAGTTTCTCATGTATTGTGCAATTAAATGGTACAATGAGAAGTTGATAAGATATAGAAACATATTGTTATTTCTTTGTCGTTTGTGGAAATGCCCTCTGCTAATCACAATAAAAATGAATTTTGCAAGAGGCGTTCTGATCTCCTTCATAAATCTAGGCCCTCAGAAACAATAATCGTTGCAGGTGTTTTAAGTCCTTAATTGGTAGGCTTAGTTATTCTGAGAAACACTTATGTGAGTCTTTTAGCTTTCATTCCTAGCTAAGAGATAACGGTGACCGTCTTCTACAGATATGCTCAAATGTTTACATAGATCACACTGTCATCACTCACCGTTGAAGAGTCCCGTCTTTTGAGACACATTCTAGGTTTCTGACCAAGCCCCAATGATAGCACTCATTTCTATCCTTTTCACTGGATGTCAAAATATCCTCTTAGATATCTCAATTCGATGATGAAACTGTCAAGAATCTCTGAATTACTGAAAGACTGGATTTTATCAGCGTCTTCACCAAACAGGACTATGTCATTTGTGTATTCTAAATCGAGAAGTGGACCTCCCGGAAGGTGGTCGATGCCGGAAAATTGATTTGACGAGAATGTTATTTCCATCAGTATGTCTATGATGAAATTAAACAAAAGTAGAGATGGTGATTAGCCTTGACGGACACAATATGAGGTTGTAAAATCAGATGACAGTTCGCTATAAGCTCTGACTCGACTGGTAGTATTCGAGTAAAAAGCCTTCACAAGGTTTATGTACTTCTGATTCTGAGTTACACCTTTCAATGACAGACTGCCACAGAACCTCGTAGTCTACAGAGTCAAATGCTAATTTTAAGTCAAGAAAGACCGTCATTGTCGAACGCCGATAAACATACCTGTGTTCTAAAATCTGACGAATGGTGAATATGTTATCGATGAAGCCACGTTCAGGTCTGAAGCCATACTGATTTTCTCGTGTTTGCAGTCCACAAGTCTTTGTTAGGCGCCCGATGATTATAGAGGCTAATATTTTAGATGCTATGTTAGTCAAACTAATCCCTCTATGGTTATCAAAGGATGATTTTGACCCTTTCTTATATGTTGGGACAATCAGTGATTGACTAGTCAGATGAGATAACGTCCAACTACCAGATTTTAGCTAAAATATTAGTCAATCTAATCGCTAAAACTGGATCACCATCCTTAAAGACCTCGGGAGCCAATCTATCTGGACCATCTGCTTTTTTGCGTCCAGTGAGGCGCAAGCAGATGCTTGTCCGTATTAGAGCATAATCGGAGTCCAAGCAGGTATTCTAGAATGAACGACAATCGACCCACTTCATCGATGACTGATGGCAATATGGTCTATTTGAGTTTGGTGCAGGGGGTCGCTATGTTAGATGATGTCTCTCCTTATGCCTAAAATTTGTGTTTGCTAAAAATAAACGATTGTCTGAGCACAGTTACAGCAGACAATCACCATTATCTGTTCGTTGTGCCGGAATACTAAAATACCCACCTAAATCCCCTTCTGTTTGGTTTAAACTACCTATCTGGGCATTAAAGTCACCTGCTACGTGTACTACGTCTGAACGTTTAGCTTTCTGAAGAAGTTCGGATAGCTTTCTGTAAAATTCATCTTTCACTTCATCTGAGCTGCAGTCGGTGGGAGCGTAGGCAGAAACGACAAAAAGGCAACGACGTGTGTCCCTATCCTTCCGAGTTCTTACGGAACCGTTTAGCCGAACAGCACATAAACGACTGTTAACGGGGATCCACTCTAACAGTGCCTGTTCCGCCCTCATGCTTAGTGCTATCCCTACTCCTGCCAGTCCACGAGAGCTGGCCGTCGGGTCACCAGATACACGAAGGGTGTATCTCGTTGGCTCTCCGTTTTTCCGAGGTGAGGTCAAGTGAATGACCACACTGGGATCCTGTATGCGTGTTTCGGAGACACAACATACATCCATGTTACGAGATTCTAGGGTTTTAGCCAAGGAAGCCTGCTGACCGATTTGACATAGGGTTCGTACGCTGAAGGCTCCAATGTGTAGTTAGGAGCAAGGTTTCAGTAGACTTGGGACAGTGTTTTGAGCACTAGAATCACTGGCTATGGTGACACTTGAGGAGGAAGCCGAGAGAGGAAATTTAGAGTTGAAAGTCGGAGGAATAATAGGAATTGAAGAGGGAGGTTGATTATGAATACAGTGGTCTTGAGTGCTGTTAAAGTTATGGGGGCAGTTATCACTTCCCGGTTGTCCATACTGTGGAAGGGTTCTTCTGGAGGTACCTGAAAAGGAAATCGGATTAGAAGTGGTCTTAGTGACCAGGGATCGTGACCGCAGTGCCCAAGGGACAACTGCTTGAGGTCGGTCACACACGACCTTTTTATGGGCAATTTTTGTGTTAGCTCCGTACTTGTTGAGACCTTACCGCCGGAGACGGATACTCGTGGGATAAGGCGAGGTGTGCATTTTTAGGGTCGACCTTTTCTAACCCCACCCCTCCTTGTGGGAAGGCAGCATCGCTGTCATGCTGGTTGTCTGAAGGAAACACCTTACTGCTGTCACACCTCTGTACAGTCAGCGGTACGACTTCGCCTTCGGACCTTGGGTTTGTTGCTTCTAATCTTACCGCTCTTCAACCGACCTGTCTGACATGGTAGGACCTTGAGGAATGGTTGTTCCAGCCAGTATAGCTCGATTGGTTCATCACGATAGGCAAGCCCGACCACCACGTCAAGGCAGCAGCAACGGTCGGGATTCGACTGAGTTAACTGAGAGTTTTTGTGGCATTATTTGTCATTAAAAAGGGTAACAAAGAAGTACATAAACTATTGGGAAGGTTCTCCTCGAATACCATAGATAGAGACAGAGCTTATGATGAACTGTCATCAAAATTTGTAACGTTTTTCAGGGTTTTTATTTCGATACAAGGATTTTTTTGGAAAATCTGCTGCCGTCGTTTAATTTTTGAGGGGTTAATTTCTTATCAGGAGATCCACTTGACGACCCAGAGTACGCACGTGATATGGTCCTTCCTGTCTAGTGAAGGCGCCAACAAAATACAGAATTTCATAACCTCCTGAAGTAACAATGCAAGCATGTTTGTAATGTGATTCTCTCCCACTAAATGCAAAATTTTGCTTCAGGATTTGTGTACGTCACTGTCTGAATTTAATGGTAAGGAATGAAGTAGTTGAGCATGTCAACCGCCTCGCTTACCTTAGGAGTTTCATCAACCCTACTGGACTAGTTTTCGACGAAGTCTCGACACATATTCTATAAGCACAGCAGTTCACTCCGTTCTACCTCATGGGTGTGTTGCATGGCCATGAAGAATAGAGAATATTCTTATGTTACAAATATTTGATCATAGGTGTTTTCGACACATTGTTCGTATATTTTGGGATCACCGAGGGATGTGTTACAATTGACTAACCACCGTCAACCTCGATGGGCGATGTCGTCTGGTGTGGGAGTAGACTCAAAAAAAGCTAGGGTTGGCCAAACCATGACAAGACACCAGTCCGTGAAGTCTCTAACAGTTGAACTAAGCCATGTGGACTATCTGGTTGGCGTCGCAATCAATGGTTAGATATTTTAAGGAACATGACTCAAAATCATCCGCAATGTTATAGATGTATCTACTGTTTCCCTTCCCTTGAAATCTGAGTTCTGCAATCTCCTTACTACTATTAGTACTACTATTACTACATTTTTGGGATGTGTAATAATTTTATCTCTGTGCTAATCTGATTTGGCAACTTGAACCGATACACATAAGTGCCACGTTTTAATTTGAGTATGACTGACATAATATTTAATTCGCAGTTCAGAAGATGCAACAAAATCCTGTTAATTGAACTAACAAGATAAAAGGATCAACTGAACGTTGTTAGTATTTCATTTGGCTACACCAACTGAGAGTACGTAATTTCAGATATTAATACAAGGTTTTGGAGAGCAGTTTTATATTTTTACCGTACTCTACCATTGTTTTAGGCTTATATAATACAATGTTTTCGATGTAATCAGTGTAATATCTTAATATCTGAATAGATGAAGTTTAATTTCGTTGATTTCTTTTCCTGAATTCAGTCGAACTTAATAACTAAGTACATGTTTGTACATTAGACTTCAAATCTCATTGTTTGAGTTGTAAGTATGGTACTTGATAGGTCTTACAAAAGTACATAAATGATCCGTTTCAAATGGTAGTTAAAACATTTGTCTATCAACTACTTATTGATAGATGTAAGCTCCACTCCGTCCACCGTTTAGAAAATCGGAGAGTATCATTAGTTCTCGACCAAACAATATGAATGCACAAATTTATACTTGATAAGTTAAATAATTCACTCATATTATTCTCATTTTCTTGTGTTTATGTAGAAAACCTCAATTAATATACCTATGCCATCGTTTCTTCATTACATTTTTGTGATGGCTTGTAAAGCGTTTGTTGATGAGAAAGTGAGTTTACCTTTGTCCTTTAGTCTATTGGCTTTGAGCGTTTATCAGTAATATGTGAAGATATTTATGTCTTAGTGTTGTGATCTACATAATGTTGATTGGGGTTGAAAGTGATGACGAACTGGACGGTACATCCAATATAAGAACTAATCTATTCGACTAGAAGGACCCAACGACTTATACATAACCATAGAAACTTCATGCGAATGAAATACTAATTAAATTTTTCGAGTTAAGTTCGACAAAATGACCACAGAGAGCTAAATGTTTCACAGTGCATATAATATAACATCTCTGGCTGAAGTGAGTTGTTCACCTTAGAGATAATGTGTTATATCTTAACTGTGCTACTTAATGCGGAAACCGGATGCAATATACGACAAAATACCACTGAATAACTCTTTAACCTAGTGGTCATTAATTGAGAATGCAATACAAACTAAAAAGGTTTATTTCAACTCCAATCAATGATGATACTGTGTGATATTCGTGGGTATTTATAAAAGATTGTCGAGATTTTCTCCAGATTGATCCACTTAAATGTATTAATTCCAAGTTGCCATTTCCGATTTTACATGTGTATTTTATGAGTTTTAAAATGACAATTAAAAAATATTCTTTTCGACTGACACTAGCAAAATTTTCTGAAAATATTACATCTAAAGCGCAAGAGAAGAACTACAATGAATCGCCAGATCGCACAGGGCTAAATCATTCTATAAAATAACGAAAACTCCTCAAAATGCTTTATTTCAAATAAATGGTAAAATTCCCATCACTTCGACACGAAATTATGTCCGCAGACTAGGATGTGTAGATTGTAATGGAGTTTTCTTATGAAATCGTAACTTGTTCCAACAAACGTCTAAGCTACACAAAAAGACTACCGGTCTTAAGCCCAGGTAAAGGAGGAGGGTTGGGCATGTAGTCAGTAACCCCATCCCGTAGAAGACAACCTTGCTAAAAAACGCTAACCAGAATAAACAAATTAGACCATTTAAACTCTACCCTTCGTGTCGAAGGATCTTCATACAGAAACATGATGCCCCACGATGAAAGGCGAGATTTTTAGGAAATCACGTGGCCGATACCCCTTCCAACAACCAGAGCAATAATTAATATAGGTACATGGAATGTTTGGACAATTTTGGGAACTAAGAGAACCAGTCAAATAGCTTCGAAAATGATGAGATACTACTTGATTGTTCTCAGAATCATTGAAACCCATTGGACCCAAGCTAAACAGAAAAGATTAGATTTGAGAGAGATGTTGCTGTACTCTAGTTACGAAAAATAAAATTCTCCGCATACTCAGGGAGTTGCTCTGATGCTGTCCAAAGAAGCACTTATAAGATGGAAATCTCATAGACCCAGGATCATCAAAACAAATAAAGAGAGAATTTTTATAACTTGTCAGTTGAATGCTGCTTGTTATATCTGGTTGTCTGTGATTGTTGTGTCGGAAACGTTTATCACTTATACTCGGAACGAGGGACCTCCGCAATTCCCACGACGCGAAAGTAAGAGCACAAAAACTGGTATAAGTGAAGATTTATTAACCCCAAAACACTGCGACGACGACGATAGTAAAAAATACACTCGTTTATATATTGATTGTACACACGATTTGATTAATAATTAGGATGACATCTCATATATGAAAAATACTTAGTTATAACAAGTCACATACTGAGCATAGTTCATGTCAATGAAATACAAGATTATCGTATATCATAAAAGAAAACAAATACTAGATTAAGTAGTCATTACATTGAATGGGAATGGAAGTAATGTTGAACGAAACTCATAATGAGTAAATCAATCGAAAATTGACTTTTCTTTCCATCATATCAGAAATCACAATGGTTATTATCCAATGTTATGCACCCACCAATGATAGCAACGACGATGATAAAGGTCGGTTTTACGAGAGGTTGCAATCGATTATGATGAAGTGTTCAGGAAAGGACTTGGCCATCCTGATGAGAGACCTAAACTCCAAAGTCGGAATGAACAACACCGGGTATGAAGATATCATGGGACGACATGAGAGAGCAGAACGAATATGGTGACAGATTTGTAAATTTATGTACATTCGACAAAATGGTTATAGGCAGCACAATATTCCCACGCAAACGCATATACAAAGGTACATGGGTCTCATTGGATCACATTACATGAAATCAGATCGACCATATTTGCATCACTAAAAATTCAGAATGTCAATGAAAGATGTGAGAACCAGGAAAGGAGTTGTCATAGCTTAAGATCACCACCAACTGGTAGTTGCCAAGATGAAACTGAAGCTGAAGATACACTGGACAGCTGGGGAAACAGCAGTGAAAAGGTTCAATACAGCCCTCCTCCAAGATATTAACAAACTCAACGAATTCAAGATAACTCTCAACGACAGGTTCCAAGCCATACAAGATCTACTGAAAGAAGAGGAAACTACTATGGGAGGCAACTGGAAAGGTATCAAAGGAGTATTAACATCAACGTGTCAGGAGGTGCTGGGCCTTAAGAAGTATCTCTGTCGAAACCCTAGATAGGATTCATGAACAGAAGAACAGATTGGTAAGACACTTTAAAGAACTCTTGAATAGGTCAGTTTCATTGAGTCCACCAAAAATCGAAGCAGCGCCTACAGACCTTCATATCGATGTCACTCCATCAGCGATCAAAGAAATCAGAATGGTCATCAGGCAAATCAAGAATGGGAAAACAGCAGGACCTGACAGTATACCACCTGAGACACTGAAGTAAGATATAGAAACAATTGCAAAGATACTCCATATTCTATTCAGGAAGATTTGGGCGGAAGAACAATTGCTGACAGACTGGAAAGAAGGATATCTCATCAACATACCAAAGAAAGGAGGTATGAGCAAGTGTGAGAACTATGGAGGAATCACACTACTATCGGTACTGGAAAAAGTGTTCAACAAAGTTTAGTTGGACCGGACGAAAATTCAGTGGACTCTCAACTGTGAGATCAACAGGCTGGATTCCACAAGGATCGGTCGTGTACAGACCAAATCACAACACTATGGATCATCGTTAAATAACCGATTGAGTGGAACTCGTCACTACACATCAACATCATTTACTATGAGAAAGCATTTGACAGTGTGGATAGGAACTCTTGATGGAAACTTCTTCAACACCATGGAATACCTGAGAAGTCCGTTAACGTTGTCATCCGGAATTAATACGACAGACTACAGTGCAAAGTGGTGCATGGAGGACAACTGACAGATGCATTCCATGTGAGGACCGGAGTCAAACAAGGCTACATGTTTTTACCGTTTCTCTTTCTTCTGGTGGTTGGTTGGATTATAAAGACCGATATCTGAAAGGAAGCCCGGAGTGCACTGGACAGGTTGGATGCAACTAGACGATTTGGACTTCACAGATGACTTGACTCTTCTATCCCATGCACACCAACAAATGGAGGTGAAGACAACTAGTGTAGCAGCAGAGTCCGCATCCGTAGGCCTCAAAATACACAAGGGAAAAAGCAAGATCCTCAAATGCAACACGGCGAGCACCAACCCAATCACGTATGATGGTAAAACTTCGGAAGAGGTGGAGTCTTTCACGTACCTGGGTAGCATCATTGATAAATGTGGAGGATCTGATGCAGATGTAAATGCAAGGACTAGCGAACAAGGACAGCATTCCTACAATTAAAGAACATATGGAACTCAAAACAACTGTCATCCAATATCAAAGTCAGAATCTTCAATAGGAACGTCAAAACAGTTCTACTTTACGGAGCTGAAACTTGGAGAACTACTACAATCATCATCAATAGCGTAAAAGTATTTATAAACAGTTGTCTATGTAAGATACTCAATGTCCGTTGTGCCGGATACCATCGGCAACAGTTTACTGTGGGAGACCAGGTTCAAGCTGAGCAGAAAATTAGGAAAATGCATTGAAAGTGAATATGACATACATGACAGAAAACACCAAACTGTATCATGATGTGCGAGCGCTAACTTGGAATTCCGAAAGAAAACGGAAAAGAGGAAGGCCAAGGAACACCAAGAATTGGAAGCAGACATGAGAAAGATGAATAGCAACTGGAAATGATTGAGAATTGGATGGACAATGCTGGTGAGCAACCTATGCTCCTTTACGAAGGGTAGCATGCGTAAGTAAGTAAGTAGTGTCAAGGACGCACAACAGAATATTTTTAGTATAACTAGGAGTGTCTGTTCATATGAATTTAATTTGATTCATTTCTGTTCTCTGAAGAAGCACTTCACACTGAGTTACGAAACTCCGGAAATTTAATTTTTTTCAGTCATCGGGATTTTATAAATATCGTTGTTTCTGTAATTATACTTTGAAATTATCGTCAATTATTGTCTTGTTTTATTTACCTCTGTAATATCATAATATAGCTCACAATTAATTCAGAATTTTAATCATTAGAGAACTATTTTTCTCTGATTCTTTAAATGGTCTTGAATCAATTATTGTTATTTGTTTATTTTGGAGGTTTAACTCTTAATGTTTACTTCCAGGTAGATGTCGGGATTTTCGAAGTTGGTATTGGCGGACGTTATGATCATACAAATATTTTCAAGTGAGTTAACTTCTTGTTTGTTTAATCGTGTTTTTAAAAATTATGTCCCATTTTGCTCTGCGTTGATTGTAATATTTAGCTTCAATCTAGATTCACTTGCCAATCGACCCCATAACATCTGCCGGTAGAATAGATAGGTTACTTATACCCTGAGTACAGCATTCCTAAACGTTTCATTTATTTCTTTTTCCAGTACTAGTTGTCTTGTAGAATATCCCTCTAATAGTTTAGATTATTGTAGATTAATGAACAATGAAATATGTTATCAGATATTCTATAAACTATTCTCTATAGTGTATACATATCATAAGATTAGAGGCTTCTTCTTTAAGTAAAATATTAAATACTACTTTGTAATGGTAATCGCGCTTCCATATCGTGATGACTTAATCTGACTACATTGGCTGGACCACTTGTTACTTTAGGTCCTATCATCTCTTTCAGGTCAGTTAGAGGACGTTAAAACTAGGAGTAGCAACTTGAAGTCTGAGGGTGAAGCCGTACTGCTGACGACTGTATAGGGGTATGATAGTAATGATGCTCTAGAAACAACAAATTTCACCTTGTCCCACAAATTTTCATCACCGATGGTGAGATCTGAAAAGTATGTTGGAGTATCTACAACTGTTTATTAAATGGTTGTGTGTGATTGGTTTGAGTCAGTTGTCCCTTATGTTCTGCAGTCACACTCTCTAATCGTAAGGAATCCAGTTTTCTCCTCAGGCATTTTGAGAAGAAATGTCCTTCCACGATATGGAGAACGGAAAAGTAACAACCACCCTCATACCTGTAACAACAAATGAGATTACCTTGTTGACACTGAGATCCCTCTGAGACTTCTTAATATTTATTTTTTCTTCATGAGCCTCTAATGCTAAATAGTTCTGCTGACTGATAGCTACTCTAGGTCCTTTGAAACGACTCTCTAAACTACACGTCGGATTATTGCATGTTCAAACCTTGTGTCAAGTCGGACAACAGGCTTCACCACTATGATCGTAGAATATTTCGCCATTAATGTGTGCTGTCTCCGAAACATACATACAGTATCCCAGTGTGTTCGTTAACTTGATCTAAACTAGATAGTATGGTGAGCCAATGCAATCTACAGTTCATGCCTCTAGAGATATGATAGGAACAGGGACATTTTGCCCGTATTCATACTTATAGTTTCTCATGTATTGTGCAATTAAATGGTACAATGAGAAGTTGATAAGATATAGAAACATATTGTTATTTCTTTGTCGTTTGTGGAAATGCCCTCTGCTAATCACAATAAAAATGAATTTTGCAAGAGGCGTTCTGATCTCCTTCATAAATCTAGGCCCTCAGAAACAATAATCGTTGCAGGTGTTTTAAGTCCTTAATTGGTAGGCTTAATTATTCTGAGAAACACTTATGTGAGTCTTTTAGCTTTCATTCCTAGCTAAGAGATAACGGTGACCGTCTTCTACAGATATGCTCAAATGTTTACATGAATCACACTGTAATCGCTCATCGTTGAAGAGTCCCGTCTTTTGAGACACATTCTAGGTTTCTGACCAAGCCCCAATGATAGCACTCATTTCTATCCTTTTCACTGAATGTCAAAATATCCTCTTAGATATCTCAATTCGATGATGAAACTGTCAAGAATCTATGTACGAACAAATGAATTATGCATATTGTCGGCTATTAAGAAAAAGCGTATCCCGTCTTAGCCTAATATGATTTATAAACAATTGCAAATACGGCAGTAAAATTCGCCATCAACTTAAATCAAAAGTGAAGGAAAAACTAGTCGATTTCGGATACTTTTTCTGAATTAATAGCTGCTCAGAAACTCAACTTGACATTCTCGAAGAACGACAGAAAGCAACCATAACTCATCCGTAGACTAACAAATTGTTTACGTGCTGATCGCTGACAGATTGATTAGCCGTGGATCTCTTTAAGTATGGTGTTTCAGTTTTAACGATCAAGTTGACTGAAATATTGGCTAGAACGTAGGAGTTGGAATTAATTTTATATGACTAGTTTCGACCGTTTCTCATCGTAATGTATATAGAGGACAAAAATCTTATGGTAATCATAGATGAATGAGTTTGACCTATATGATTCTAAATATTAACTTCAATTATCACTCGACACTTAACTATGGCCCATAAAGGCCATACCTAGGAAAACTGGGGTTGTTCCTTACCTGAACGAGAATTTATTGACGAAATATTCGCCCCTCATCAGGTTCTAGGATACAAATGTACTTTCTGCCGTCCTATTTTAATTGTATTCCCTGACTTTACAGAAGCATTTGATTCAATCAGTCAGTCGGCTACAACGTAGGACCAGGCACATATATGCTTTGGTCCAAGTTGCCATACCCCATTAGCATAACAAGATGAGCACGAAATTCACAGGATTAGTTTTTTCAATGGTAGTAATGTATAAAAGAAAGATTGTATATAAGGATATAATACAGGAAGAAAGAATTAGTTCGTAGAAAGAAAGGTATCTAGTAATTTTAATATCATGGTTTTAGGCAAGACAAAGAGTGTAGACACCTACGCTATTGTGATCGATTCTGGGTCATGTCATCCAGTCTCCAACCACTGGATACGATAGTTGCCCGGACCCCAACCAAGTAGTCTACATCTACCAATATGACTCAGACCAGAAGTTAGTGACTCCAAGGACTGATGCCACGTCTTGGTTTGGCCGCCCCTAACTTCCTTCCAACCGTCTCCAACACTAGTCAGCATTGCGCGTTATGGTAATCGGTGGTTGGGCATGCGTAATACGTGACTCAACCATCTCAGTCGATGAAGATTTACAACCTCATCAACTGACTTGCCACCATTTCCTAATACACAGCGTCTAACCTCACTATTACTTACGTTGTGATTCAAGCAGATGCGAGCAATGTTTCTAAGACACATGTAATCAAACATACGATTATCTACTACTCTTAATGGCCACGTTTCGCAGCCGTAAAGGAGAACAGAACGAACTGCTGCGCACTATACTTGTCCCTTAATTGATAGACGGATATCTCGCCTTCACCATAGGTGACATAAGTTGGCAAAAGCCAAACGAGCTTTCTGAATCTGTGCAGAGATTTCGTTAGACACCAACCCATTAGGGTTGGTCAAACTTACAAGTGAAGTTGTCGACGCGTTCGACCGACTGTATCAGGAAAATAATGTAGCAATTATTCAATCTGATCTCAAACTGTTTAAGTTATTTTATAGTCATCTGTAGTAAGTAGCAGTTTAATGTAAAATAGACGGGTATCGCGTCACTAACAAATTTGTCTCAATTTATCACGAACCGAAAATAATTACAGCTGTACAACTTTAATTAATGAAAATGATGAGTAAACCCTTAGTTAAATTGCTTTCATTTTGCCTAATGACACAACGAACTTATTATCATTGTTTTTAAAATATTCAATATTGCTTGACTTCCTTTTTGATGAATTGTCGGAATTCTGATGGAAGGTCATGATCAAGAAAGTTCTGGTATATCTGAAGTCAAACGCTCGTCATCAATGTCATTTGATGTTCGTTACGGAATATCGCTTATTAATTAATGTCAGGAATGGATAGAGTTGGATGCCAAATTAATTTTTCTGAGATTTCAAATTTCGTCATAAGATCTAAAGCTGCTAAGTGTGTACTGCTGTTGAATCATGTCCTTGAACAAAAAATTTGTCCAATTCCCCCTAGTTTTTTATTAATAGTGCAATTGAAGTCAGTCCTCAACGTATAAACATATGAATTAATCTAATCTTTCCAAAACCTCTGTATGAAAATTAGAAACTCTACTTGCAAAAAGCAAGCATTCTAATTTTAAGGATATATTCGAATATACTTGACATGTGACTGCTTTTGTTCATGTGTTCAATCCGTAATATTCACTCTTTTTCAAAAAGAAAATGAAACGATTTATTTTTAATCATATTAAATTTTTAGAGATCCTTACGTAACTGTTGTCACAAGTTTGGCACTGGAGCATACAAATATTTTAGGCAATACCATTGCTGAAATAGCTTGGGCTAAAGCAGGGATTTTTAAGGTAGTCTTCACCATTATGTTTTTGATGTACTGTATAGTCATGTTAAGGGAATGTTATTTATTTTTTAACATAAAAATTTGAACTTATGTAGGAAGATGAATAGATATTTAATTGTCTGCTCAGTAACAGAGTTAGAAAACGTGGTTTCGCAAATTCCTGAATGACGTTTCTAACAGTATGACTGAAGTATTTATACGTGGTTATTCTTGTAAATAAATGTAAAAAAACTTAAACACCATAATATTTTGGTAAAGACATGCATCCATCTTAGCTGTTACTTTTCACATTATCAATAAGTCAGTAAAGCGCAACATGTAACCTGGCACATATATGTATTGGTCCAAGTTGCCACATCGCATTAGCACAACGAAATGAAATTGTTAAGACAATTCTATCATTAGCTTGAATAGTCTATGCTCTATACACAGATTGTGATCATATTGCAAGATTCGCGACAACAAATAAAAAACCCAGAGTATAGATCTAAAAAGAGATATATTTGACACAAACACTAGCAGTCCACTCAAATAGGGAATCCAAAGTGGAAATCGCCAATGAAAAGGAATTCACATATTAAATAGTTAATAAGTTGAGTGCCTATCTACCTGCGTTTGGTGACCAATCACATTGTGCTTCTACTAGCCACACATCACATTGTTATGTAGGCCTCATGGACCCTATTAATTCTCACTATTAAGTTTCAATCTATAATTTGAGTTGTGTGATGAGGATAAGGAATTCGCAAGAACAATTAATAATATGGGCTCAATAGATTTCAAACAATCAGGTTACGTATTCACTTGTCTGGTTATTTATTTGAGAAATAAACTTTAAATTAGACAGAATTCCAAGAATAGCAAGGATACAAAAAAATTACTCTCATCCCATCACCCTTAATATTATCAACATTATCAGGATAGACTTCATACTCTTCATTTCATTTCCAAATTTACACTGAATACCAACTATCTGTGATTGTGGCAATTCGTAGTAGAATTGCTTTATTAATAAATAGTGCAGATTTATTACAACCTAATGGTTGGGTGTTGGCCTAACGATCAAGACGTTCGATACTGAACTAATAGGTTACTCTTTCGAACTTCACTCCACCTAATTCGGTTTGAGCAACTAGTTAATATCATTAGCACTTATATCTAGAATGTATTCCAAAGTATACGAACCTCTGCACTGGTAAATGAGTTAACAGTAAGTATGCGGAGATTTACTTTTAAGGTTTGTCTAGGTACAGAAAACAAGATTATTTTCATGTTTACGTGTAATATTGATACTCAGGGAGTTTCTACAGATATGCCAAAGTTGCTAGCAATCATTCAGTCACGTTATAATACGTAATCCATCATTTTTATGAAATATTCTGGGAACCTTCTATTGAATGCTGTTTGGATGACGTACTTTCCAATTTATTTCCCAACTTTTCAAGACTTCAAATAATTCTCGGGTAGTTCTAACAGCAATCGAATCCTAGATTTGTATTTTGAAATGTCTATTGCCTATGAAATCCAAGTTAATTTTTGAGCGAATGGTAATTTTATTTATTTCTAATTCTACTTAACTTTTTATGATGTAAACCTTTAAAAAGACTGGTTCTATTGCATTAGTCAGTCATGGGCAATCAGATGAAGCAATGAATAAATTTGTTGAAGAAGCTGAACTTGTTAAAGTAAGTGGTACACGTTATGTTTTTTTAAAAATATCATTTGATCATTTGATCTGTCGACAAATTTAAAATGAACAGGAAAAGTAGATTAGTTTACCATATAAAACTAGCTTTTTCTCTGTTCATCATGAACTAACAGTCCGTGACTTACTCTCGTAGTTACAAAACAATTTCCAAATCAGTGTTATTTACGTTTTTAATTATACACTTATGTCCTTTTGAATAACTGGATCATTCTAATTAGAAAAAGTTCATAACTTAGATTATCGTAATCGGTCTTATTGTGGCTGTCAATAGAATCCAGGAAGAGAGTATTCTCTTATTCGGGACTCTCCTCTCAATTGAGCTACTGAACACAAATTACCACTGGCTTGTTCAATGCACGTCTATTTGTCAGTAAGCGTTCGTAATTCGCAGTTCTTACTCAGGACTGCAGTTGATCAGTCTCTGTTGACATTTTTAAATCCTGAATATACCTGCTTTGATAATTCTATAGAGTCACAAGTTTTTCGTAATCCCTAAATTATGAAATCCTCATCATAAACTAACTAATCTTTAGAATAATATGTGTTCAATAGATAATCATTTATAATGTATAAAGAAATATGAAAAACAGCAAATAATTCATTGCAAAAACCGAAAAATTCTCTTTCAACTATTCGATGTAGAAAACTTTTTTATGGAACAATATATTCCTTGAACTTAACCGGAAAAAAATCAAAGTCCTGGATGTGTTGTTTAATTGAATTCTAAAAAAATAATTACAAAGCAATCTATTTTCATTCGATTCATCACGTACACATCCAGGTACTGGGGATTTACCTCTACACTTTAGTTGAAAGAATACAATAACAGTACTTGATTACTTAAACTAAAGTAAATAAGAAGACGATTATCATAACTATGTGATATATTAGCTCAATACATTTCGAATAATGAAACAGGTCATAAGATTAATCTTAACTCGGCTTTTGTGGTGTTGTACAAAAGTGTAAAAGGACGTATACTAAGATTTATTGAACCCTAAGCCATACGAAAATTTAAACCCTCTTTGTGTATTCAAAAAACATTTTGTTCTCACCTTAAAGCTACCCTAGTAATATTAGCTTATTATCTAGAGTGATAAGGTTTCAAATTGTTTTCATATTATTTCTTTATTATCTTTGTGTCTTCTTACCTTCCATTTCTAGTCTAGTTGATCTTTTATTTTTATATACGTTTTTAACAAGTATATGTGTGATATATTAATATCACATAGTTCTGATAATCTTCATCTTCTTATTACTATCGAAATTTATCAAAGGGACTAATAACTATAAAGTAGATCAAATAATATTCGAATCAATAATCGAGTGATTTTCAAAGCAATTACTTTCATCATTTACTTTTGTTGAATAGTAACTAATAAAAACTTTACTAAAAGTATGGTTGGGGTCCGCGCGACTATTGTAACCAGTGGTTGGAGACTCTGGGTAACATAGCCCAGAATCAATGTATACGCTCTTTGTCTTGTCTTAAACCATGAGATTAAAATTACTAGATACCTTTCTTTCTACGAACTAACTCTTTCTTCCTGTATTATATCCTTATATTCAATCATTCTTTTATATATTACTACTATTGAAGTAGCTACTTCTATGAATTTTGTGTTCATCTGGTTATGCTAATGAGGCATGGCAACTTGGACCGACGAATATATGTGCCTGGTCCTACGTTGCAGCTGAGTGACTGATGTAATTCCTTGACATGTTCGATGCACTCCACTCAAGGGCACATATACTATAATAAACCAATTAATTACCTTCACTAAAATTAACAACAAGAAAATACAAACCTTTCATAGACAAACTAAGCAAAGTTCAACTTTCTATTCATTAGTCTACTTTTTATTTTTTAAAATCTGAATACATGATCGAAATGTTGTGTCTTCTCACGTCTATTTTGTATTTTCCACTTCCAGTGTCCATTATATGTTGCACCTACGTTAGATTCACTATTGACTACAGAAAATATGACTGAGCCATTTAAAGATATTTTTGACAATATGAAGACCATACCGAATAGTCAATTATTAAATCTTGCTTTAAGTTTAACGACAGTAAATTATTGGTTTGCTAAATTACATGGAACTACTAATAATGATAACGTTACAAATATTGGTTAGTTATTACATTAATTAATTGTGTGTTCTTTTTTTCAAAAGTTTGTTTATACTGATTAATTGTATTGTTAAAGCTTAATGATTCTCGTTTATGAAAATTTGTCTGTTTCTAATGGTCATTTTGACTGCAAACAGAATTATTGAAAGTCAATGATGTCAGATGTTGAGATAGTGTTATATAATCTTACTTTTATCAACTTCCATCACTTGCGTTGTGAAAAAGATGTTTGTTTACCGACCGTTCATACGGCAAGTACTTTACGCCTCATTGCGCTCTCTACTAATGTGCTGCTGCTGCGAAATAGAGTCTATGAAAGTAGATGTGTGTAGACTTCAAGTATATGATTACACTTATTTTCGAAACATTCCCCGTATATAATGTGACCACATAGAGTGGAGTGCTGAGGATAGGCTAAGAGTACTGAGTAATCAAAGTAAGTCCATTAATAAAGCCTTTATAAGCTGTGATGGTTAGGACATGCGTTACACTATGTTGACCGAAATAGGTTGAAAAAATCAGAACAGGACATCAGTTCATTGAGTCACACTTTTAAAATAATCTATTTTAAGCCTTGTCACGAAATTAATTTTAAATCAGTTACTTCTATCATATAGACAGCCTGAACAAACTGTACAATAAGAAAAAGCTCAAATAAATGAGTTTTTCCACCGACTCGATATTTTGTGACAGGTTTCATATTACCTCCATTATCTCATGAAGTTAAAAAGGCATATATTAAACACAACTTTCAGTGAACAATATGACAGACAGATGTAACACAATTTCCAAGTACAGGTTTAGACACTCAAATTTTTGTGTAACAATTGAGGATACTACTTCATTGCCCAGACTGAAGTAGAGTGAATCGCCATTCGAATATGCTATCTGGCGATTGAAGAGCAAGCTATTACTCCACAACAATAGAAAATAAGCTGGAAAGTGACGGTGTGCGGATATAGAAGATGTTAGTCTATGAATCATACTGAACTTATATACTAGCATAATGTTTCTATTGCAGCTTTCCTTCTCCCCCTCAACAACTGTCATAGTCCTCAACAGGCTATGGTAGATTATTTTCGAGAAATCACGTAAGGAAATCAAAATTGGTTTTTGTTATGTGCATTCAAAATGCTCACTTGGTTCATAGTGAATCTTGTTACCCTTAAATTTGTTGGGCATGATTTAATAGCTTGCAGAACAATCGGTTAATTGAACCGTGATCCATGTATTGTATCAAGTATGTTACGAATTCCTCTCTTCAGCGCTTTTCTCCTTGTAATTCTTCCGTTTTTTTGTTCTAGGTTTACAGCCAACATCTGAATGGAAACCAAGTTCAACTGTTTTACTTAGTAAGTTTTCACTCTTTAAGAAAAACGGGAAAATATGTGTCATGCCGTAACTTTACGTGTTCAGAAGCGATCGGGAGATTTTCTGCTTTTTGTTACTCATCAGCAAGATATATTTGCGATCTTCAAGCAATAAATTCTTGTATATGCGACATTGGTTACTACTCAGTGACCGGTTCGTATAAATATCTTACTTCTACAGGATGTCAGTCGCATCGATGACTCAGTGATAATCCTTGGTGATGCCGGTTGGAATCGCATGATGCCTACCAATCCGCGCCCTGATGGTGTGAAGTTTCTAGTAATACGGAAACGAAATTCAGGGTTTCCTACTGATTTGACTTCCGACCATCTGACATCCAAAGCATAGTGCATCCGATATTCAGTCACCTGCATAATTGCCCACATTTATTTATTTATTTGAACACATAAATATTGGTACAAGGGGACACCAAATATATATGCGCCACACAAAACAATCAGAATGCGGAGAGGAAAAAGAAGGTGAGGAGCGTAAGAGAAAAAAAGAAGAACAATGACGACGACAGATTAGTGTAAGGTAGTGTAGTAATAATAGTAATATTGAAGGAAACGGAAAGATGCAACCAGAAGAATTCTTTCAGTTAAGGAAGATCCAACCAACCAAGAGTTGGAGTTTCTTGCGGACTTCTGCCTCACTTGGTGGATCAGTCATCACCGGCCATGGAGGGCAGGACAGTCTGACCGATGTTTCCGGAGCAGCAGGACAGTTGAACTGCCCTTCAAAAAATTCTGTCCATCGTCCAAGACGTCGATGGATGTTAGTGATTGGCATCCCATCATCCTCACAGATTGTTTCGCTCACACCAGACTTCTTGCTGCCAGTGGCTCGGATGAGTTGGAAGAGCTTCCGGTAGTTACCAGATGCAGCTGCTGCTTCCAGCTCATTAGCACGCTTCGATCACCAGGCTTCTTGGTCCTTACGCAAGCTTTGCCCAATTTCGCTACATAACAGCCTTCGTTTATGGTCAAACTCACGGTCACCCGGAGTAGATCGACGGGCTTCAATGGGTTGTAAGGAACCAGAAGAAACCCAGTGCTTAAAAGCGGCAAGTTTCGCGAAACCGCAAGCGGCTTTACTCGCCATCGTGAGGAGCCGGTGACCAACGATTGGTTCATACACCATTTATCCCCTCAGGATACTGGAGTTCATGTACACCATCGGTTTGGAATCCAGTTAAAGCGCCGGACATTCGCTTTTCGTCCTCTCATTTTCGTAAACAACAGTGATGCCACGAGAAGGCAATGAGTAGGACTTCCCTGGCAGAGTCCGTATACGCGTGGTCGTGTGAGTGCATTTCGAGAGGGAGGACGGGCCCACCCTACTCTCGACCATACCAGGGCATTTGGGGGCCTGCAACTGTTCAATTGTTTTGTAACCTAAAATTGTAACTACAGAAAGAAAAGCAACATCAACTCTATTCGAGCTCTATGTGATAAAACTGGTTGGTAATAGATACTGCGATGAAAATAGGAATCGATTTTTTTATTGAACACGTAGAGTGTAGTCTTCAGTTATCGTCACAACAAAAAATCGATAAGAATTACGTGTATATAATTTCAGTACAAGTAGGACCACTATACATGTAATCCAAAGTAAACTAGCAAAATTCAGTAACCTGTTTATCGGGTATGTTGATAGACACAGATTTCTAATTACAGTAGTGATTATAGTATGTGAAAACTAATAAACTTACAAATTCACTAGGAGGCAGTTATTTTACATCTAACTATTTCAATGAATTGTTCTAACGTATCACTTAAACTAGTACAAATTGCTACATACGTTTAAATATAGAATTAAATCACTATAGTAGGATCTTGCATACGGTATAGTTAATTAACCTTAAACGTCACCAATAGCTGAGAAAATGTGCTTCCGAATATAACGGCCCATAATTACGTAAAAAGGTGTTTCGTTATGAAGATTAAAGTGATTTTGAGTCAGAAATTATGTATAAAGAGGTCAATATTACCTGAAGTTTGTATATGTTCAACCAGACATGACCCAAAACTGTTAAGACGAAGATATTCGTAGAACGAATGACAACTATCTGTTAAATGTCGTTATAATAGCTAATTAGTCTAAAGTTTAAGCGATATGTATATTTACTGAGGGCTTTATTTGTTCCAAAGATGCGTTATCCGCCCGATGGCCTGGTCGATGGCAAATTGTAATTCGAAAAAATATAACTTATTATCTGGATGGTGCACATACTGTAGAAAGTTTACAGGTGAGTATAATTTGGATAAATAAAGGAATTGTAATTTTTGTATGTAATTAATTGTGTAATCTCACCATGAAATGTACTGTTTGTGTTTTACGAATTTTTTAGTTGTTTTATTGAAATGATTGAGCTGCATACTAAACTCTTAATTGATGATGGCAAAGATTTGTAGCTCAGGTGGGTGGTCTCGGTAGAGCATCAATAATCATCGAGTCACAGGTGGAAAATATTCAAAATGAATATGCCGACAATGATAAAGTAAAGGTCAATAATAGTCGATCAAGGTCGACAAGGCAAACTATCAGTCGTATGAGAAAGAATTCAAATAACTCACTTCTATCTGAAGTTTGTACTGATGATGTTCAGTGTAATGATGGAAATTTCACTATTAAATCATTCAGTTCAGAAGACGAAACTGCCCAAACCATCGTTTTAAAAACTGTAAATAATGTATGCAAATCACTTCATCTTATATAATTAGTGTAAGAATAAGGTGCACGTAAAGTTGAACACTAAGTATATATATAAACTCAAACCATTTATTTGTTCAATAACTATATTCATGAACAAATCTATTGTGACTAGTGAAAATAACTCAAAATAAAGTGGTTTTAATGAAAAAAGTTTTTATAGATTATTATCACACATTCTTATTGTATAACTATCAAGTAACTAGATTACTCTCCCACTTCCATAGCCACTTTTTTATTCGTTTATATTTAATTGTTATTTTTCATTTTATGGTTTGATGTGGTCTTGTCTGTCTGCATATAAACCGCATCTGCCTAATTTAGAGACATATCAAGAGTTGGTTTCTACTTCGAGACTCAGAACAGGGCATAGAGAGGAGCTACGGAGTCGTGGACGAATAAAAACTTGGTTGTGTCAGCTTGAGGTTAGTAGTGCTGGTAGGGCGTGTAATTGGCCATGTCAGAGACACTAAGCTATAGAGTAAATGATGGGCACGAAATAGACGAAATTAGGATCGCGATTCTGATTGTTGACTGGGCACGTGGTCTTGTTCAGCGGCCACAAGACATAATAATAACGATTGATGATATCGTGTAAATTAAAACGACTATAACTGTAGTCTTATAAAAACTAGTAAATTCATTTGTTTACATAGTCTTTTTCAACAACACTGCTTGCAATCTTGCATCATATCGCTTTCAACTCTACCAAATAGACGTTTTAATAAGTGAATAATAATGAGTTTGAAAATTTTTTAATGTTTATGGGGAGTGTATCAACTAAAGTTATTAATTGGCATTTATAATAGCAAATTACAATATACCACGTAATTTACATTCATTTTCGCTATGATTAACAGAATTACAGCCCATATTTCTGATTCATATATACATACTTTGATAACAACACTGAATTTGCATATTTATCTTATCTTTATTATCCATTTGACAGGAAGCAGTTTGTCGAAAATCATGGAAATGTTATATAATGATAGGATTATTAGATACTAGTCGTGTAGGATGTTAGCTTGATGGTTAAATCACTCGACTTTTAGTTATAACTTTGAACTCCCCCCCCCCTGATTTTGATTTGAGCATCCATTAAGTAATTCCAGCCATGAAACCAGATGTATAGTTCATTTTAGGATACATAAATCTGTACTTCGTAAATAAGTTACATGTTGATTGCAGAGATCCAAGCAGTTTAAAATTTTTGGAAATGGTAGAATTTTCATAGATTTTAAATCACGGGCTGATACTTAGCTAATCATTAATAACTTGGAAACACTGGATGGCCATTGCATCTTAGTATAGAATCCTTCACCATCTGTTCTCGTTCAAATAATTTGTTATATATAACTACTGAAATTGTTTATGATAGTTATCGAAACGATAAACTATTATTTGACTATTCAGTCTCTGAGATATTGACGAAAATAAACTGAATTGGAAAGTTTTTTAATAGAGTCAGACCGAGGAAAGTAGTGAATTCACCACTAAGGTCTTCACTCCTACATGATCCCCGATCTATTTATTAGTTAGTCAGAAAAATGATTATCAACTAAGATCACGCATGAATAGAGGAAATTGGAATATATATGCATATTCAGTAAACAACTTACTTCCAGATAACCATGAATCAAATCTCGTATCGATCGGACAATCTACTAGCCACTTATAAAGAAATCCTAGTTACAAATTCATTTTCTTAAATCACATCCTATTAATACTGTATAGGCAAATAATAAAAGTTTTATAATTAAGCCAACTAGCTCAATGAACACTAACAGAACTCTTTACCATCTTCATATAATCATATCAACATAGATCGATGATACTTCATTTGTTTTTTTAAGAAGAAAATAGTAACTGAATAAATCTTGAAATGATTGTTCATTCAATATATGTATATGTCTATTGGTGAAATTGTCTACGTATCTTCAGATATAACTTTTCGTTAGACTTTCCTGTGTAAATATTCAGCTGTAACTTAATAGTTAATATATACCGGTATTAACCAACTAGATGGTAGGTTTTCAATTTTCTCTCCACTGTCTTTATTTGGTCATCTTGTAACTGTTATTTCTTCATACTTCCATTCACGTTCTCACAGTTCACTCATGATGTGTATTTTGTACTGTTTAATCTTTCTTCTTCTTGTCAGTCTGCAATAAAATGGTTTCAGAATGAGAGCTTTGCTTCGAATAATAACAGGTATGTTTTCGTACATTTTTTAAAATGTTGGATACCGTTTTATTCGTTTTATTAACGAAAGTTTTTCTTGCTCATTTACTCTACTCTCTGGTCTAATATTTCAGTCAGTCAATCAAGCGCAACGTCGAACCTGGTACGTGTGTACATATGTCCAAGTTGCCATACCCCATTAGCACAGGGACCGAAATTGTTGGAATCTTATTTTTCTTTTGTGACTTAACTAATACCATACTGCACAATTATTGATCAATATGAATAAATCAGAGTGTATAAGTGTCCAAGCCAAGTTCAAATCTATTGGTTTGAAAAATTCTGGACATTCGATAAAGAATGTGTTATTATTTGTATTTTCCAATGAGTGAAAAAAACAAAACAAAATCGTTTTCACTGACTTCTCCTTATCACTTTGTTAAATGTATTAACGAAGTGATAGTAGACCACAATTTACGAAAATCTCAGTCCATTTATGTGCTAATTTGATCAAAATTCTTTTATATGAAGTAATTTTGAGTTTTAAATTAGTAAATGAATTCATAAAGATAAGAAACGAGCGTATGTTGCTAGATTTGATCCTCACACCCCAGTAATACAAAGTTATTAGTTACCTCCAGCTTTTTAAAAAGAACACATATTGATAACAAATGAAAAGGAAAGAAAACAGAAACTAACTAGTACAATCAAAATTCTTAAAATGAATCGTGTATCAACTTATCAAACGGTATCATACACAACCTCATGTACCTCATGCAGTTTATTATTTCTTATTGAATTCATATAACCTTTTATCTTCCTCCAGATAATTAATCGAATTTGTAATTAAACTAACATTTCTCTTATTCTATTTGACATTTATCCATTCTAATCATGAGTCTCATAATTTCATTTAGCGTATAAGCTGGTTCAAGTTAACGTTTCATATTGGTCATCTCAATACTAACAATTTATTTTATTTCACGAGTTTATTCTATTGAAACGTAGGATAAATTTTTCATTCTCTTTCGCTCTCTCTCTCTCTCTTTGTCACATAACGTAGTTTTGCACTTATCTTAACATGATTAATTCCTATTCTAATATTCTTATTTGTTTGATAGACGTCCTATACGAATTATTATTTTCACTGTAATTGGTCCACGAGATCCTAAGCCATTTTTAAAATGTTTACAAGTAAGAGTTTTTGAGTGTAATAAATTCTTTTTGGTTTTGTTATTTACACTTTGAATTTAATGTTTATTATTTACTATGGTAGTGTGAATATTTTGTATCATTTCAAGATAATTTTCAGTTATGAACGTATATGATTTCTAGAGCTATTAAAGGCCAGAGCGAACTGTACAACTGCTATGTTTATAGAGATCATGGTATCATCTAGAATCGGCTAACGGGACAAAAGTTAACAACACAACAACAGGGCAAACTAAGCAGTTCTAGTGAGGGGGAAGGCCAGATTCAGCCAGGAGAAATATATATTCCACAATCGGCCGGAAGCACAAACGAACAAACACGCAACTTATGCGTATATATATAGTACACAAATGTCCTTGGTAGACGTCACAATTTAGCGTACTGAAAGAGGAAACTAACCAATGACATTCAAGGTCCTTTCAGGTGGGAGATACAAACTGAAGGTAAATGCGTGCGCTTTTGGCGCGAAAATGAGAAATTCCGATTTCCATAATAAAATTACAAAGTGCGTTCTTGGGATCTAGTATTTCCAACAACAACTATATTGGTTCAGTTGAAAACTTTTTTTATACGTAAATACTTATGACTTTACATTATTCGAAACAGATCCTGTATCTAACATTCTGTTGTCGAGCAACGAAATTGGAGTCCGACAGTCTACGTTTCAACCCAGTAGTCTTAAGGTATCTTCCTCTCTGGATGGCCATGTATTTGATCTTGTGTAGCAGGGTCGTGGTTGCCCACTGTTGAAGAAACCCGAATTATTAATTATAATCGTTGTTGATTTCCCCTTATTTTCTTAATCGCTTTGCTATTTCTATATATCATATTCCACCTATCAGGAAACGATTATGTCAAGCGCTTCGTCGGTGAAATGATTCCTTTTTCTAATAGAATCATATCGGTTTTTTATTACAATGTATATAATCTCAGTGATTATAAGTATCCATAATTTGATTACAGGAATGTAAATTGGTGTAATTAGTTATTGTTTGTAAAAACCTTATTTTCAATTTATAGATCATAGCTTCAAACTAAGATTTATTTGCTTTAGTTCGGTCAATTGTGTAGTAACAATAGCACTCACACGAAAATTATAGCTGAAGGACAATTATCATACGTATGGAATAAGTTAATATCTTACTTACCTATAGTAACTCCTAGACCTTATTGACACATGCATTAATACAATTTCGATGACAGCTTTAGTTATTGGAAATTATTCATCTGATTCTTTGAAATGGATATTTACTAATATTCTTGGAAATTCTCCATCTGGATAGAATTTGTGGGAAATTTTTCACATTTGTTTCCATAAATATTTGATATTCCAATCTCTTCGTAATAAAAAATACCTATTCCAGGTCCACTCTATTGCAAGGAAATAATTAAATTACCTGCTTATGCCTATCATCTCTCGTGTGGCCTAGACCACCTATCAGGGATCTCCAACTAGCTTTGTGTTCGGCTCTACTTTCCAGTTGCTGTTCTTGATGTGTCTGCAATTCCCATCCTTAATTTGTTGCTTGATCTGTCTCTTTTCCTTTTGTCTTGGGGATCAGAAGTTAAGTCTTTCTCTTTATTGAAATTTGATGATTTCAATAGTGTAACCTATATACCTCCAGCATCTTTTCCCAATTTCCTCCTCAGGTGGAGATGGTTTGCTCTCTGCCACAGTAGATTACTTCTGATGATGTCTGGTCAAATGATCTGAATCATCTTGAGTAGATAGCTTTCGATAAATACTTGTACTTTTTTTATGACAGTTGTAGTAGTCTTCTAAGTTTCATTTTGGTACGATAGAACCGCCTTGATTTTCGTACTGAAAATTCTGATTTTGATATTGGCTGACAGTTGTTTTAATCTCTAGATACCCTTTAATTGTAGGAATGCTGCAGTTGCTTTGCTAATTCATGCCTTCACATCTGCATTAGATTCTTATTTATCAGTGATACTGCTCAGGTACGTAAAAGTTCCCAACTCTCCCGGAGCTTCTCCATCAAGTTTGTCACTGCCACTAATGGCAATGAGAAATATCCAAAATTAAGAATTTGGTTCTAGAAAACGGAATAAAAAGGTATGTGTGTAAGAGCACTGAAACTTAAGATTGATTGAAAGAGAAGAAACAAATGAGTCTACACCATTATAGTGATTCAAAATTGACACTCAACGTCTCCAATCAATAACTTAGGTTATTTTGAAGAAATCAACAAGGTAACCTGCATCTACTAACTTGGCCCAGATCAACCTTCACTAACTTTATGAACTGAAGTCACGTGTTGCTTCGACCATCCTTAGCTTTCTCGCAAACTATTCAGTTCTATTTAAATACTACACCTTGATATTTATGCAGTATATGTATGTGACAAGTAATGCAATCACTATACACTTATATTATTAGATAATATTTAATTCATGTTGCTATTTTTTGTTATTTTTCAGTCTTCCTCATTCACATTCGATTTGATTGTTTTTGCCAATCCTCACGATGGTCAATTTGGTAATTCTATCTAATCTACATTATTCTTAATGCTATCTCTTCATGAAACATGAAGCAATTCTTTCTTTGTCGAGGCACTCTATAACATGATTCTAAGAATATATGTGTAACTACTATGAAAGTGCGTAGATTTATACCAGAATCGCATAATTTAATACGAATCTGTGTAGATCTGAGGATTGTACGGTCTTTCAAACAAATTTATTTAGGCTGAATTCAATATTATAGTATTTTGATAGGTATGATAAACTATCGAATAGGACTGTATTGTTAAATTTGTGCCGATATTCGTATACTGGCACGTAAGGTTTTCTTGTTACTTGATTATTTACTTCGATTAAGTCAAGCTCCATTTTTTAAACTTTTGATATTCATTTTTCACATCTCATTTGCTTTTCAGACGAAATTTCCCTTTGAAATCATTATGTAAATATTAGATTCGTAGCGTTTCATTAATTAAACGGGCTAGAAAATACTTAACGTATGTCCAGCCTCTATCTAGCTGGGTGTATTTTACTGGGGAACATTAGAAAATGAGGCGACCAAACCAAGACATGACAGAAATCCACTAAGTCATTGTCGATTTGTTTGAGCTGTGTGCTGGGAGATATAGCCTTGATGGTTAACATCTGTTTATTAGCCGTAATTTTTGGTTAACATTGCCGAAATTCGACCATCTCATAAATCCTGGGTTTCGTGTGATGTTATAAATGTTTTCAATATCAGTCGTTCATCTCATAATGTGGTTGTTGCATTTACCTCACCACTGTAATCAGTGTTACTCTTTTCACTCCTCTTCATTTGATACTGCTGTAAGCCAACTGGAACGTTGTACGCTTATCATGGTTAGATTGAATGTTCGTTGAACCAATGGTCAACGCTGACGCTAATACAACTGTACGTATCATATATATACTCGGCTCTAGATCTTTCTATCCTTATTTCGTTTGATTGTAGTCAAACTTCAGGAAAAGTACGTTAGTTCAGTAGCTTTCTCTGCATACATAAACTTTGAGTGTTGTAATAGTGCTCCTTTCTGAGGCTTTTAGTCATGTACTAGTGAGTTCATCTGAGGGGAATCTTAGCCAAGTATAGCGATACATCAAGTCACTATAACTAGTATAGTGGCTACTCGATTTCTATACTAGTAAACTTTTCGTTTATTCGAATAATGAAATACTCTGGTATGACGGAATTGGATGGGATCGCTTTCTCTATCTTGAAGTTCCTACATATGATCGCTCATTTATAACCCCTTCTAAGCACGTTCTTCCTACTTTTTAAAAATGCTAACTATGTTTTTTACATAGGAGAAGGTGTGATGGATTTCGTACGCTTAAGCCGAGCTAGTGTATATGAAGGACTCTCTCGGGGAAACCATTGTCCACATAGATATCAAGACAATGAATGGTGCAGCAAATCGCTCGAGTCATCGGCTATCGTAGCACTTCGTCTCTTGATGTTGTCCCTTTAGATTTTAAACTGGACGTGTAGGTCAAATGTTCAAAGTAATTTACTCTTAGTTAACCATCCATCTCGGTTTGAGTGTCCGATTAGTCTTCACATTAATATTTTATCAGTTCAACATTTATTTCCCATTAGTAAATTCTAGTTGATTAATAATAAATAGTAAATCGACTTTTTATTTCTGTGTTCTAGAAATTCTTCCCAGTAAAGAGTCGCATGATGAATTATGCTTCAATATATGGCGTCAACTCGAATCGGAATCGAACACCGGTAGTAATTCTACATCACATTCAATTGCTTCAAAGCATGTCAAATCTTTATCTGCTTTTATAAAGTGGATGCAAAACTTGCAGCGTTTTTCTCTTCAGGCTTTGAAATATTTTCCGTGTGAATATAGTAATTATGATGAAGCTGATAATACAACTTGCTGTGATGTTTTTGTCACTGGCAGTCTATATATGGTTGGTCGGATATTAAAGGTACATCTTTTGTTTACTGTTTTAAAAACATACCATGTATTTGTAACGCAATCAACGACAGGCATGTATACCTTCTAAACTGTTATGACCTCAATCTGTCCACTGTTTATGTTGTTAAATGTTTAGGAAAATCTGCTCTGGGACGTCCTTGTGTATGCTAGGCTACCTAGTGTAGCCTTGAGACTGAATGCGTGAATTCGGTTGTGAATAATTTGGTTTCGCGAGTAGGAACTTTCCTATTAGCTGACTAATAATCTATTTCACAGACACTGATCAGTTGATTGAAGAGGAGAAGACTGTAGTAGATAACCTTCATATTAAAATAAGATGATCACGTTTACTCAAACGGTACATGTCTAATAACATAGACATCTAGACCTCGACACAATAAATTGGAAATATAATTTGTCTAAAAAAATAAGGCAATTAAAGTAAAAATCAGAATACCAACTTCGATTTATTTACAGTGACGGTCTATAGATCAGCTGAAAATTTAAGGTTACAGGAATAGCAGAAACGCATAACTCAATTGTTTGTAATTACACATAGAAAACTGTGAGTTCTTATGGCTTGAAGAATAGTTTTCCTAGTTTTTCTCTATCGTCTATTTTCCTCATTATAACATGTATTTTTAGTTGTGTGGATATGTAGTCTCACTGTAGGTTGATTATTTCACTAATACTATCTAAATTTGTGAGATAAAAAATGACCTTTGGCTTTTAAAAAGAGTTGCTAAAGCTCAGTAATGATCTTCAATCTGCCTTGTAGTTTTATTATTTCCAAATATTATTCACATTAAGAGCAGCGCTTAAATAAAGTGGTGATTGATTTGAATAGTATTGAATAATAATAAAAGAGTGAATAAGAACAAGAGTAAAAAACCAATGATTCACATCTAATTCATTGCTATGTCTGCTGTCTGAAGAAGTTTTATATTCTAATAGAAGTTAGGTTGTTAGGTAGTTTCAAAGTGCTCCCCGGAAAACTCAGTAGGGTCCCAGAAAACTCTTGGAAATATTTTATGCAATCAGGATTGAATGGACGTTTCTTCGAAACATCTAGTAGAGTGACATCACGTGTTACATTTTTAATTGGATAATTACCTTTTTACTCGTATATTTAGTATACTTGTAGAACTTCCTGGACGATTAAGGTCATGTTAATTAGTATAAATACTCATGACTCTCTACACCGAGGAAAACTTTCTTTTGCATTTCGCTCCTTTGCTCGTGTGTTTAATTTGCCGTTTAGATTTTGTCTGGGGTTATTAGAAGCTGCTAGAAAATAAGATCAGTCACTCAGTTAATAGAATTACCTCTTACTTGTTTGGTTTCTCGGTGGTGAGTTATATAAATATTCCATTGGTAGTCACCCAAAATGCAAGAATTGATATTTTTGTGTTATCGCACTCTAATTGTTATGGCATATTTCCGACTTCAGGGTGTTCAAACAGGAACTGCACATTAATTTCTATTATTCAAATTTCAAAACACATGATCATGTATATAAATTATGACACACTGTCGTTAATAAACCACGGTATGTACTAAACTAGAACACTACAAGTAATGAGTCATGAATAATTAACAGTAATTAATTAAAGCTTATTACTAAGTGAACCTAATTATACCGTTACCCATTTTTAGTAAGTGGATATATATTTCGTCATGTATACTGAGTTCTCAGTGTACCCTCCTGGATTTCAGCTTTTTAATTACCCCTCCTTAAAAAGTAATCTTGGGTTCGAACTTCAGTTAAATAACCTAACAATTATTTTATCCCTACGTTGTAAGTTTACAACAATGTATATGAGTAATGTCGTTCAAGTTTTATATTATTTCGTTTTTTCTTTTCTTTTATACTTATCAAGTATTATCTTATTTGTTTCCTAGGAAATAGATGAACCTGTATAAAGGATACAATTGATATTCTCAACTCAAATTTTGTAGATCTCCCATCTGTAAAATAATGACGCATTTCTAGATTCCTGCATGTTCAGTGAAATTATCATTGGAAACTGTAAATATTATGTACATAGATAATCATCGATTTTTTTAAATTTTACATACGTATATTTAAGATGATGTGATCTGTTTCTGATGAGTAACTGCAAATAAAACTTGAACACGGACAAGGATAGTCATCCCTTCCTAATATCCAATTAAAGTACAATGTCTAGCATTCTTCTCATTTAGTAGGCGTGACACACATTAAAGCATTATTTCCTACCGAGAATTCCATTTCAAAAATCTAGAACTACGTATGTCTTCTAGAAATACGCTGCTGCAGCACATTCCAACTTACCAGATAAGGAAGGCAAACAAAGTGATAGTTAGAGCTTCAAGTGGAATCCTCATTAAAGATTATGGCATGAAGTTCAGCTTTCACTAACCAAGCAAATGGGAAAAGGCTAGATATTGGACACAGACTGGACGTTGAAAGAGAGATACTCTACAAATTTGTGCATATTTGTCTTATTCATCGAACGCCCGAACTTGTTTTTGAGTCGTTTCATTTGCATTTGAACATGTAGCCAAGTAAATAGTTTTATATGCATTCCATACTTACTGCTTTTATTGCTACTAGTTTTTCACTGAACTTAAGTAAATTTAAAACCTCTATGGAATATTCGAAAACGAAGACTTCTTCACAGGACTTTAACAACCTCATTACTAGAGTACATTTATAAGTCGAGGGTGCTACGATTGAGCTATATGTCAGATGGTGTGGTAGGGGACATTTTTTATATTGGTTGAATAGGTTCAAGATGCAGTATCTGTAAACACTTAAGGTCGCTTTATAAAAGCCTACATTCTTACAGTAAATTGTGGACAGTTGGGGCGTGGCAAATCCTTGTCTACACGACCGTAGCCTTCAAGAAGAAAGGCCTATGCACATAGAAGAGTTACATTCAGTTTATCTGTCCATTTTAGTCCATAGTCCGGTCACCCTATATCATGGCGTTTTGTTATGGACTTTTACTGTTGACTCCTTTATGTATCTCTACCTTGTTATATTCTGAGTCGCATACTCATCTTTCTTCATTCAAATTTTCTTGTAACCATAATAATTCCCTTCATAACATTCGTGTAACGTGTTGTATTCATGTGACTTCGTTGTTATGTTGATCACCACAACATAACACTTCTCGTATGGTTTACTGTCCACATAATTCACTTTTTCCCAGCTTGATTATAATTTCCTACCCCTAAGGCAACTTTTCTAGCCTACGATTGGCTTGTTTTAATGTGTTTATCTTGTTAAAGGTTTTCATTCTACAATACTTAATTCAACCACAAGCAAATACATTTATCGTGAACTTATATCTGTTGAGCCTGATGATCAACTTATTGTAAATGATCGTTCCCTAAATACTCGGTTTTACTGCCGGACTCTATTTATGCTGTTACGTTAATTGTGATTGTTTTATGTGCCTATGTTGAACTGATCAGTAAATATATGCTTATCTGGTGGTGGATGGTCCATGATTCAGTCTAGTTCTCTTAATTTCGTAAGTGTCGTTGTGAGCGACTGATGTCCTACAGAGTAATCTTTACTGTCTCGTGCGAGCTCGAGAGATTTTATTTCTTAGCAAGCAGTGTTTACATATGGTTAATTTAGGACCCTAGATTCAGAAATTTGTGCAGTGTTTAAGTAGTTTGGTCGGTCATTCTGATTTTCATTTAACAACGATACAACCTTGTTACTAATGTTAATAAGCTTCACCTATCTATTTAATCGCGAACTCAATCATTCGATAAAATCCATTGCTTGGGGCTCCTCTAATTGATTATCCTAGAGAAGATACTCTGTTAGTTCTTTGAAATAGGGCATATATACACATGTAACGTGTCCCTCCTAAGTTACACAGACCTTTTCACTAGGTGATGTTGAAGTCCTCTTCTTTTAGCTGTTTTTGGGGATTAAGAATATTATTATTAGGTTCTCAATCTAATAACTATCCTCAAACCCCAAGTTAACAAAGATCAGGAGCTGAGTACATACATAGTTTGCTTACACTCTGAATGAATAAAACCAACTAGTAGGGCAGAACGTCAGACATTCGCCAGTGGAAGCAATCGGGATACTGAAACAACGGTGATGCACTGGTGTCATAAATATTATCAGTGAACCTCGTGCATTCGATTAAAACCTTTTTCTGTGGTGCAAGCCGTCTAACAAAGGGGTAGTTATTGCTAGTTCAAATACTGTCCGAAGAAGTCAGCTTGAATGTTTTTAAAATAAATGTATTGAAGCAATATGTAGGCCAGTCTTATTGTTTGATGTCTGTATTTCATGAGTTGTAGCAATATTCTTCAAGCAACTCTAAAGAATTAAAGTTAATCTTGAGAATGTTATCCAAATTCACCTGGTGGATAGATCTAGTTTGACATATGACCGAAGCAAATTAGTACTATGGACAACTTATAAGGTATTTCCAATGGAAGGCTTCTTGTGAACAGAACTACCCAGAAAACAAAAACTCGCAGATCAGTCTTCGTAATATCAGACCATTTTAAATTCTAGGGACAGTAATCATTCGAAAGTTACAAATACATATCCAGACTTGCATCAGAATCGGCATCAGGTAATAGATGTCTCGTTATGTCATCAGTAGAATATACATGCTGTCGTAAGTTCATAATTAGGAATTTGCAGTTTCCATTACCACTTAGGAGTATTCAACCATTCCAATTACATAAACTGTGTTCTTTTTGGTTGCAGATGATCATCATAACATAACCAATAACATGGTAATCCCAGTTATTGTGTTGTAGGTTCAACTGCTCCGCACTCGTCATTAGTAAAAGTCTGCAATTCAGAACATGGGCGAAAGTTTTGTAGATTCTGTCCACTGTAACATAAAAGCACCCGACAGGTACTAGAGGTTTATGTTAGTTCACTCATGCGCGAGCGACTTGAGGGCAATATGGGTAAAACACAGCTTTATCTGAAAATAGTAGATGCATCTCAAATCCCCGCTGTTTTTACGTCATGAAAGACGAAATGTCATCTGTAGAGATGGTCAGTTTTATGGCCAGGAAATCTCAACCCCCAAGATTTAACTTTAGTGATCCTGAGTTAAGGTTAGATCAACTAAGCATTTCTTCACGATGCAACGTATTAAGTCTTGGAGAATTCGATGGAGAGACATCTGTTTTGTGTTTCTGTGGTGTTTGAACGAACTAATGATACCTTCGTATTTGTGGATTGTTCGATTTTGAATTCCAAATACTTTAAGAGATAACACTTTCCTCATCTAGATTTCCAGAGGTTGAACTTCTACCGGGAGGTTCACTTATTGACTTAGAATATGCCGATGACATACTTTTATCTGGCGAAGACACTGACAAAATGCAGAGTCTTCTGACCACTCCAAGCAACAATGCAAGCATGTTCGGGATGCGATTCTCACCCTCAAAATGCAAAATGTTGCTTCAGGATTGGGTTGCATTGACACCCGAACTAATGATGGGGGGTGAAGTAATTGAGCGTGTTGATCGCTTCACTTATCTTTAAAGACTCATCAGCTCTTGTGGTCTGGTGTGTGATGAAATCTCAGCACGGATACAGAAGGCTCGACTAGCTTTTACCAACCTGCGACATTTATGGCGTAGGCGAGATATCCGTCTATCAACCAAAGGACAGGTTTACTGCGCAGCAGTTCGTCCCGTCCTACTTTATCGCACTGAAACATGGCCGGTAAGAGTAGAGGATATCCATATGTTACTAGTATTTGATCATAATTGTCTTCGAAATGTTGCTCATATATTCTGGGACCATCGAGTAAGTAATGCAGTTATTAGGAAACGGGTACTAGGTAAGGATGGCAAATCAATTGATGACGTAGTGAAACTTCATCAGTTGAGATGGCAGGTACTCGTGTTGCGTATGTCCAACGACCGACTGCCTCGACGTGCGATGTTCAGTGGTATAGGAGTACATTGGAAGAAAGCTAGGGGTGGCCAGACCAAAACATGGCACAAGTCCATGAAGTCACTAACAAGTGGTCTGAGTCATGTCGGTAGGTGTAGACTACTTGGTTGGGGACCGCGAGATGATAGCAACCGATGGTTAGAGACCCTGAATGACATGGTTCAAAATCGTTTGCAATGGCGCAGGTGCATCCACTCTTTGTGTTCTCCCAAATTCTAATCTTCTGAATTCTTCATGTCCCTTTTTCCTGTTTCCAAATTTATTTCACTGAATTATACTCTTTAAATAACATCTCTAAACCCTAATCTTCCCGATCACTGCTTACACTCTTGCTACCTCTACCTCTACGGGATTTGGATCGACCACTGCATCTCTGAGTTAAGGTGGTGTAGCAACTCGAACGTACGAAGTTCTGTGTTGTTACTGACTGACTGACATTCATTTGTGGTTGTGTCGTACTTCTTAATTCAAATGCCTTAATTCTGGGATTCCTAGTTCATACGATAATTCAAATACTTCCAAACATTATAGTTTCCTCCTTTCATTACTAAGGAATCGTGTAACTTAATCTTGAACCCTAACGTATCCCAGCCATACTCCAATTTAAGACATGAGGTGATGAATAGCGAAATGGCACGAATGCTTTATCCCGGGGAGATACTAAGTTATGAGTCATTGTTCCTATACCCACGTCACAAAATGTCTTAGTGTCAACGACGTGAGGAAAGGATAAATGCGTATTAGCATTGGACCTTAACCACACTATCTTTTAGGCAGAGCATATAATTAATTAAAGGACTATCATTCAACAACTGACACGAAAAGAAAGCCAACTATGGAAAACACGGTAAAATGAATTCAATCCATTGGATGGTGTGACTAAGCTTTGCAAGCGTGGTCATTCGTGTACAGCTTGTAACTTTAATTCATATTAAATATATTGTTCTATCTCCAGCCCAAATGTGTTCTTTGGAAACGCCAATCATATTGCTAATTGTTACGATACGATAAGTCAGTGTGGACAATGACGTAACTTCCACGTAAGATCATATAGATTAGGTATCCACATGACAAATCTACAATTTAAGGTTGAAGTTTATTAATAAAGAAGTAGACCATAGTTCCACAGATGTAATCTCTCCGATGCTTCATGCAGCGCTGTTGGATGCAAAATGCTGAGATATCTTTTTACTTTGCTTGCATCGCGTGCATCGCAAAATAATCGAGAAAGGTCCCTAGAATAGGCTGGAGTTTATATACCACTCCTAACTAAGGGTGACCATGAACACCTAGTTTGGAATTTACTTATGGCTGTTAATAGCAATAAGTTAGCTCAAGTCAGACCAAACTCATGGAAAGCAAATGTACTTTAAATAATAGTTTAGCGCATCAAGATTGCTTGCAGAAATTATCCGGATGGTATGGAGTTATAGAGCTGTAGATAAATCCCTCCCGGTGCATTATAGTCGATATTGTTCACCAAGGCACTGATACACACACGGTAACTTACACAGAGCTACCTGTTGTCCAGAAAATAACAATGACATAAGTCTCACTTTTAACCAGTAATTGAAAAACAAACTTGTGCACATGTCTGTGTTATTTCTGTCAAAGGTTTCTTAGCTCCCTGGTCAGTAAGTAGAGCCGTACCCATGTGAATGACGAAATGTTTTCGACTTCGTTTACAGTGTTTGTTCTTACCAAACTTGAGTAATAAAAATAAACAGCCACCTCCTGGTTAAAAGAAAGGTGAGCAGCAATCTTGGAGATAAACTTAGCGAAATTCCTCAACAAATAACGTAATTTCTCAGGAACTGTTAGTGCATAGTTCTTGTGTACTGTCACTAATGCGTAACGTTCTTCCCACTGGATGTCCGAACATTTCATTTTTAAAAATTTCACCGGTGTTTTCAACAGGTATTGTTTTTAGAGTTTCGCTTCAGTTGGCGATGGTGTGAAGCGAATATTTTGTGAGTGAGATTTCCCAAGATATGCAGCTGCTCTCATTTCTTTACAGTTTCATCAGTACTTTGTGAGATACTACTGGATACCACGTGCCATACATGATATGAGACGTATGTAGTGGTTGAAGCTATACAAATTCAATACTTTGTAGCTTACTTTGCAAAATGCCCTACAGTTTACCAGTTGATTCAGATATGCCTTTACTAATGTATCTACTGACTACGTACAAATGTTTAAATGCGAATCGAATTGCAAATGCAGTCTGACGGAATGGCTTGAAAAAATAAAAAGTGCAAAGTGTTATGTTTGTAAGCCCATGTGTTATGTTTACGATCGTTTTTCTTGTCGCTCTTTCGGTACATAATGTATCCCCCGTTTTATTAGAAAGTATGTTTAAAATCTATATTGCATGATCAGCTTCTTATTTTTGTGTCCCCGAGGACATAAAAGGATGAAGATATCCACAGTTATCCGCTACAACAAGTGGGAACAATGAGCAATTAAATTTATATTTACAAAGTAATACTCTTACCTTTCCTTATTAATGCTACATGTGAAATCGATAGACAATACTTCAGAAAATTTTCAGTAGATTTCCTGGTATTCTTGTGTTGGGGAGCACACTTATTGAATTCCTGTAATCGAAACAACATTTTCTCAACTTTCAATTTTGAAATAATACACTAAACATGATAAACTGGGTAGTGCGAACCCGAATTTAATTCACAACACACTCGGGTCGATTTCTGATTTTAAGTTTTTTTCAGTGAGTAATTTTTCAATGAAATTTTTCTTCCTTAAATTCCGTTATCTGGCTAAACTTGAAAGACTGTAGTAATGTGCAGCCTAAGCTTTTTTCTTCACAAGGCGAATGTTATTTCATGAATTGCATATTATAATTCTATTTATACACATAATTGTAGACGAACTTAAAATGTGCCATTACATTAGGCTACTAGAAAAGTTTAATTCCAGCCACAAAACTTATATCTGCGTTGTTACATAATTTAATGGTATTATGGTTTGCTAACTATGACGATTTTCTCGCGGTTCTCTTTTCAAACAAAACGTGCACTTGAAGATAATTAATAGATATTTACAACGTCCAATAGACACCTTCTTTGTGTAGACGGACGCAATCCATACATGCTATTTTTAGTTATCGATAGCATGCTTTTCATAGGCATCGGAAACATTTTAGGTCAATTTCAATCTCATCCCGTATCAAGAACCTTTGAAATAGTTTTATTTACCGGAAAGCATCCTTTAATGCGCTCGGAATAATTTCAGGACTAATAAAGGCAGTGTTGCTACTGGATCAGTGCAGAGAGTAACAAGAGCAATCACAAAAGGAGGAAATATACAAACTCAACACTTAAACAACGCTGCCGGCTGTGCTAGTCCAAGCGACTTCTCAGGAGTCCTTCAAGAGGCAACTTGACCTATTCTTAAGGACCAAGGACAGAATCACACTATGATTTACCAATTTTTTCCTCTTTTATTGTTAACATACCTAGGTTCCTGCCTGGAGGATTTGGTGATCCCCTGCTACTATACACGGAAGCCTGTTAAGCGAAAGCTTCTTCTATTCCGTCCACAACCATTTGAACCATTTGAACAAATGTTTTATATAGCTCAGACAGAGAAAGATATACGATACACGTGACTATCCGTCATTCAGTGTCTTCTTAAATATACAGAATTTCAAAATCCACAAATACTACAAAGTTAAGAAAGTCTACGATTAGTCACTGACCTGAGGTAGTTTATATATGGAATGTCCATCGTGAGAAAAACCGCTCAAGGTTGTTGAAAGAGAGGTGGTTTCAATATTAGGCTGACCTTTGCTTTGTATCTTTCGGTTGTGTCTAACGTTTATGAGATATGATTGTGCCGACTCCTAGTTTCAGTTTGTTTTATTTTTCTTGATATAACGATTTTGTCGTTACTATTTGTGATGGGTTAATTTCTTTGTTATACACATGTGTCCCCAAACACTTGTGACAGTCCTTACATTGTTAAGCCTTGACGATTAGTTACTGTTCGGCTGTAATATTAATTAATTTGACCGTTGTATCTGTTCTTTCCCTGTACCGTCCATAGAGTATTTTTGAAAGACTAAAAGTGTGTTAACAGTTTATAGATTTAGATCCCGAGATATTTGCTAGCTTGAGGGTACCCATTTCTTACACCCAATAAAAACTTTGGAAGCACTATATTACTTCAATTTCATCAGAAAACTGATCCTTATGTCTTGTAAGTTAAGATTTTGCAGACATTTCTCGTGTGGTAGTTTAAGTGGTAGTCAAAATATTTCATGACTATGCATAATCACTATTTTTAGGTTCCCGGAATTGTTATTGAATAATATGTCGGTTTTTTAGCTGTACTAGCAATACATTTAAAAAAAGGTTGCACAGAGTTGTTAAATCTTTCTATATGTACAAAGTAATAACGAGAGTCCTTGTAAGAAATAGTAGTTGTTGGGTGTTCCATATCCTTCAGTCGAAAAGCATATCAAACGTGGTCAATTATCAGAAAAATATTAGTGACTCTACGCTAAACGCATCAATTAAAATTGTGTTTAATGCACATTTCTTAGGGAAAATGAATTCTGAATTACTCTGTTAAACCATTAGAAATGTCAGTTATGGATTTAGTTTCTAACATATTTGCTGTGATGCTTCACCCGCTTCAATCTGAGTTTCGGTATTTTGTAAATCTGTACATAGTTTTGAATTCTTTAGGGTTTGTAAAATTGGTTGTTTGTAGTCTTATCAGTATTTTTCGAAATATTGCTTCAAAAAGTTAGTACAAAGTTGCATTACCTTCCCATCGATAATGTTCTGAAAACAGCTTTGATAAATGTAGGTAATGGTAGTATAGATCTGTTGCCCGGAGAAAGACTTCTAGACCTTGAGCATGCAGATTATATTGTCTTGCTGTGAAATGATACCTAAGCCGTCCAATCCGCACTTAATCAGTTGGCAATCAGTGTCCGCAGGTATGACATGTGCTTCGTACCTTCCAAGTGCGAAGTGCTTCTACGAGACCGAGAGGACCTTGGACCTGCGCTCACTCTCGGTGGTGAGCAGATAGAAGTAGCCGAAAAGTTTGTGTCTGGATAACTGCGTAAGTGCTGGTGGTGGCGTCGGTTATGAGACTAATTCACATTTAGTGAAAAGCAGAGTAGCTTATACCAATCTGAACCATCTTTGGCGCCTTCATGGTGTTATTTCGGCTTTTTTATTTATTTGAACACAAATATTGGTACAAAGAGGCACTGAATACACATGCGACACACAAGTTACTTGATTTGTGTGTGGACTGTGATACTTCTCGAGTGCCTAAATAGAAGCAGGTGGTTTTCTTAGAGGCGACACCTGGAGCCTTCGTTCTAAGGGTCTGATCCACAAGGCAGTGAAGCAACGTCATAAAATGCAGTTCCATGGTAGCCGGTGTCCAGTAATTGGTTCGTACTCCGTTTGTCTCCTTAAGGATCTTGGAGCCTATGTACCCCATTGGTTTGGAATCAGGGCCTCCAAATCCCATGGATGGACTCGCTGTGTCCACCAACCCTGTTGAAGCGCCGAACATTCGCTTTTCATCTTCTCAATTTCGTAAACAACACCCCCGCCACGAGAAGTCAGTGACTAGGACTTTCCTGGTAGTGGCTGTTTCGGTTTGGGCACCCGAGCAGTATCACAGCCCTCACACATATCGAATGAGGTTTGTGTGGCACATATATATTTGGTGCCTCTTTGTACCAATATCTATGTGTTGAAATAAATTAAAAAAAGTATACGCGTGGCCATGTGAGTGCATTTCGGGGAGAGCAGACTCTTCCCACCCTCAGTCGCATCAGGGCATTTGGGGGCCATCTAAAGATTGAATCTACAACACGCTGGTGTGGACATTTTTATTTTATGATTGTGAATCCTAACCTACCAGTTGAGAATGCTAGACGACTACCTTTGTTTGACCACTGTTGTCTCCAAAGGATTGCTGACATCCAGTGGCAACACCATGCTAGTAATGCAGGGGTTCGGCATCTTATGTCGAACCACAGCGACGATACTTCAATTGGTGCCACTGTCTTGGACGCATCCTACGAATGTTGTCCCAGCGAACTGCACATCGCGCATTGTTTGCCGACACCGGGACTGGTTAGCAAAAGCGGAGAGGTTATTAATGCACGACATAGTGTCGTGGTATAAAATAAAGCTGTACAGGATTGGCTCCTGTTGGTCCTTTTACAACTCCTTGGTTGGGGTCCTAGAGGTAGCTCAACACAGTAGCTTTAGACGTTTTCATAAATAGCTCAAAATAAAAATCACTGGCAGTCCTTCTGTAGTCTTCTCTTACTTTCTTTATAAAAGTGAACGTAGTTTTTTTAACCAAAAGAATTCATTCTGGTTGTATTTTTCCTGATCGAACTGCTCACACTAAGTATTATTATTATTTCACTCTCATACATCGATTTCTGTCCATTGTTGCTTTTCTTTTCATTATAAGCACTTTATATCCTCCATCTCTTCACATCCACATTGTTATTGTGTGGCGCATTTGTATTTAGTGCTCCATTGTACCAATATCTGCGTTCAAATGAACGAATAACTAAATAAAGGATCATATGATTAACTACTGAATGGAATAAGTACGTGTCCGTACATTGTAATATAATAGTAAGGAATGGTTATTTTTAAGAATGAGTTCTCTGTGTCTCATATTTGGGATATTAGATTTTATCAGATCGATCTATATTCTCACAACCACCTAGTTTATCTTGGAAACCCTCACTCTTCAGTAATTTGCAGTGATATTCGGTATAATACCTTAGCAGAGTAAGCTTCGAGGGTTGTCAGTGTATGAGTGCGGCAATAACTGAGTGACTGTAAAATGACAACAATTTAGAACATTACTGATTATCTGTCTAAAGAGTCCAAATGGTTTTAGTCCTTCCAGATCAAGTCGACAAGATAATTAAATCCAATCATAAGTGTTATGTAGTTCATTACTAAGTTTAATGGTAAAGGTTTTTTAATATACTTTTTCCCGTTTTTTTTGCTCAATGTTGTACTTTGTTTTCCTTTATCAGTTAGTCTATTTTACTCAAATTTATCCAGCAATTAAAAAGGTTGATCTTTTTGTTTAGTTTTAATTAACTATAAGTTTGTGATTTTTCTTATTTGTAAACTATTCTCTTCTAAAATATATCAATAATATGGTCGTTATATATATTTTCACTTAAGTTTTTTCTAATTACATGACCTACATTTCATCCAGAAATCATTGGTCGATTGCTAAGTATATTGATCTTTTCATTTTCATTTATTTTGAAATTTTTAAGATATCGTTTACCGCATTCTACATCTACTTTCTGTGCATTCATATTCTACTGTGAAATCGTCGCTCTAATTAGCTGTTTGGTCATTATATTTCTTTTCCCTTCTCCGTTATAAATGGCTATTAATACCGGAAATACGAAATTTCGAATGGTGAATGTTGACCAGTTGACTGAACCAACATTTCAGGATGAATTAACGGATGATATTAAACCGTCTAGGTTAAATATTTCTGAAATCAATAGTTTAATCTCGAGTGGAAAGTCTACAGATGCTATTTTGAACATATTACAAAATGCACCAATTAATTCAAAAGATCAACAAACTAAGGATACAGTATTCAAATTGATGATGCGTTTGCTATCACAATTTAAATCAAACCAAAATATTGATGAATTTTTGTCAACTATGGATCAAGATAAAATTGATTTACTTATGAAATATATTTACCGTGGATTTGAACAACCACAAGAGATAAGTTGTGCAACATTGTTGACATGGCATGAAAAGGTACTATTAAAAATCTGTTATATACACTAATTGTTTAAAAAAATAATATTTAGTTCGAAATTAACTGGTTAATATATTTTGTATGCAGTTATGTTAATCCACTAGTTGTTAACAATTTCATAGTAGAATTATCTCTGTAGTTATACCGATAATGGTATCTAGTGTGACTTGAAAGTACTGGTCTCCAAAAATAGGTTAAGTTTACCAAATGATTGAATTTTTGATTTTCCGTACACTAAGTAAAGTAATAACATACATTACTAAAGATTTATGTTATCAAATCTTCATAATTTATCCCAGTATTCGGTTTTTCCCAACATGGATTACAGTTTTGGTATATATTCAGTGTGCTTTAACGTGGTTCCTATTCTTCTCCGTGTGTATTGTTTGCAGATGAGCATATTTAGTTTGTTCATGAGAAGTGACCACCTAAAATGCTGCAAAAAGTCACTTAAAGTAAGAGAATCTAGAATAATTCCCTACTTTAAGCAGTAACACTATGGAACTCAACACAGTTCTTGATATAGTGTGATTTTTGATCAAATTTATCAATAAGCACTTAATCACATGATTTTAAAACTAATAAGCTTGATGACGACTGTCTGACGTCTTGGGGAAAAGTAATGTTAATATGACTGCGCTGTTCAACTAATTATTACTCAACCATTAGACCATTACTTTGAAAGCTCCTTTATCTACTTCCGTTTAAGCAATGGAAAAGTAATTTCTGTTATTTTGTTGTTGTAATATTGCGCAAGTTAGATATCATAAGTTTGTTAAAATGATCAAGAAAAATGTCATTCAGTTCATTGATCTCAGAGGTTGGTGTGTTTGACAGTTCTACAGGTAATTGTACTTCATCCTAACATTGAAATTTAAAGAAAACATACTAATTTCCTGTTGGTTGTTACTAAACTAAATAAATTAACGGGGCCTATACGATTGTATCCTGAATTTTTGTTAAAATGTTTGTTAATAAAATGTCTCACCGTTTTTTCCTCAGGTGTATACTTACGGCAAAGCTGGTTCTATTATGCGTGTCCTTACTGATCGTAAACGTGTTTAATAACCATGCCATATGTAATTGTTTGTGCCCATGATTTCATATGTTATATTTTATATGTTATCTTTTTATTGTGTAGTTACATAGCAAGATATTATTTGTACTTTCATCAAAATAAAACAACGAAACACTAAGTGACAGTTTTGAAGTCAATTTATTAACCTTTTTTAATGCTACTTTATACTATATTTTATTTCAGTTGTGTTTTCAAGATTTTTTTTATTACTCGATTAGATAATATACAAAGGTTAAACGGATTCAGCTGAAATATTTTTTATTTGTCTTTGTTTGACTACTTTTTGCAATGTGCATATTATTAACACATTTAATCTTTGTTGATAGTTTCAGCGAAAATTGTAAAACGTATAATTCTGACTTATCAAAAATTCATTCAGCGATTCCTTTTTAACATGTGTGGGGTATAATAGAACTATTAAGGGACTATATTTGAAATTTGATGCTAAGCTTCTGGCCTAATGAGAACTGTTATAACACATTGTTGTCAGTCACAACGTAGAACCTGACATGTTTGTTCATCGGTCCAAGTCACTATACCCCATTAGCACAGGTCAAGTCTCAGAATAGTAGAGGTAGTAGTAGTCTGAGTGGTGATAGAAATGATTAGACATCGAAGACACGATTCAAGAAAATATAAATTAGTGAAGTGAAAACACAGAAAAGGTTATAGGGAATTCAGAAGCTCGAAATTTAAGGGAAGACAAATAATGGATACACCTGCGACATGGAAAACGATTTTGAACTGTGTCATTCAAAGTCTCCGACCACTGGTCACGATAATCACATGAATCTCAACCAGGTAGTTTACACCTATTAACATAGTCCAGTCATACTGTTAGAGACTTCACAGACTGCAGTCATGTTTTGGTTTGTTTCTTCTCAGATTACCTCCAGTCTACTCCTAAACCACAACACCATCCATCGAGGTAGTGAGTTGTTGAGTATATGTTGCACATGCCACGACCACCTCAGTTGATGAAGATTTTCTGTCAGTCATCAACCGATTTGACACCCGGACCTAGTGCCCTATTCTTAACCCAGGTATTGCTTACTCGGTGGTCTCGAAATATACGAGTAATGCTTCAAAGATGCTTACGATCGAATATAAAAAATGTACGAATATCCTCTACTCTTAATGGCCATGTTTCACATCCATAGAGTAGAACGTAGAGAACCGCTGCGCAGCAAATTCATCATTTGGTTAGAAGACGGATATCTCGCCTACGCCACAAGTAACTCAAGTTGGGGAAAGCCAATTGAATTTTATTGATACGTGCTAAGAGTTCGCCAGGCACCAGGCTCTCAAGATAAGTAAAGTGCTCGATGTATTCAACTATTTCACTTTCTGTCATTAATTCAGCCCCTGACGCAAGCCAATCCTGAAGTATAATTTTACATTTAGTGGGCGAGAACTGCATCCCAAGCGCGCTTGCATTTTCACTCAAAATGATCAGAGGACTGTATTTTGTCAACGTCTTTATCAAACAGAACCATATCATCAATAGGTTGTGAATCTTCATCGACTGAGATGGTTGGATCACGTGTTACGTATGGCTGAACACCGATTTCCACGATGCGCAATGCTGACTAGTGTAGGGGATGGTTGGAAGAAAGTTAGCGGAGGCCAAACCAAAACATGGCATCAGTCCTTGAAGTCACTAACTTCTAGCCCTAGCCATGTTGGTAGATGCAGACTACGTGGTTGAGGTTCACGTGTCTATCGTAACCAATGGTTGGAGACTCGGTGACATGGCTCTGAATCGACAACAGTGGCATAGTTGTATACACTCTCTGTCTTCCCTTAAACCATGAAATTAAAATTGCTCCATGTCTTTCTTTCTACAAACTAATTCTTTCTTCCTGTGCTATATGTATTACTGCCACTGAATTAACTACTATGAATTCTGTGTTCATCTTGTTGTGTTAATGAAGTATGGCAACTTGAACCGACGCACGTGTGTGCCTGGTCCTACATAGTAGCTGACTGACTGACTACCATCAATAGGTGTATCTCCTGGTGAAAGATCAATCTCTGAAAAGTCGAACGATGAAATTGTTATGTTTAAAAGAATGTATATGGCCGAGTTAAAGAAAAATAGGGAAAGCGGACAACCCTGGCAAACATCACTTGAAGTAACTGGTTTCGACGAAAGTACACCATAAGCTTTGATTCCACCGTTAGTGTTTACGTAGAGAGTCTGTACAAGTTTGTCGTATTTCTTTGATAAGCTTTTTAAAGACAGACATTTTCACAGAACCTCACGATCAACAGTGTCGAACGCCACCTTAGTGTCAAGGAATATAATTATAGTCGAAAAGTATCTCTCAGAACCTGGGGAAAGTTGAATAATTGGTTCATACATCCACGTCCAGGTCTGAAATAAACCTGGTTTTCTTGGGTGTGCTCTTCACAAACTCTAGTTTGGCGTCGTAATACTATTGAGACTAATATTTTAGACACTATTGGTTAAACTAATTCTTGTGTGATTGTCATAAGAGGAGTTTTGTCCTTTTTTATAAACTAGAATGATTGAGATCATATGAGATTACGTCCATTTTCTAGAACTAAGCTAAGAGTTAAATTAATCTAACTTAAAACTGGACCACCATCTCAGAGGTTAGTCCATCAGACTCTTCTGCTCTCTATCCCTCTAGATTGCTTATATCCTTTTCAATCTCACTAACCGTTGGGGGACTTGCATCGATTAGTCATTCATGTCGTTTGGGTAACTGTAGTGTGGCTGAAGGTCAGTTGAACTGTTCTCTAAAGTGTCCTATCTGTTCAATCTCCTCGATTGAGAAGGAGTGGTTGTCCAGTCTTTTCCTGAAATAGTTTCACTAACAGCCGAAATAAATTTCAACACCTTGTAGCGGTAAATAAATCCTCCAAATCAATATCTCTTTAAGTCTTCGACATTTGATGCTGACCACACTAGTTTTAATCGACTCACCTAGCTGGAGGCACTCGGTCACGCATCTGCACGAGTGAGAACGCCGTGCTCAACTTCTGAAACAGCTAGCCAGTTTAGATCAGTTATTTCTCTATATATTGATAGCCTATCAAATATATCTTCGAACCTCCTCGCTTCTGACTTTTAGTTTCACTGGATAAGCACGATTCATTTATAGGTGTTACTGGTTAGTGTTGTTAAACTACAAATACCCGTGGCATCTGCAACTGGTTTCCTTGATAAGTCCGAATATTTGTCTGCTGTCGCTACTGTCTTTTTCATCTCTGCTTTCGCTGCCCACCACTGCTCATAATCATTGCATAGGCCTTTTATCGGCCTACGTTGAAGCCTTCTTCGCTCCTCATCGTGTTCGGAGTTAGACGAGATGTACTACCGAGTATCTATCATTTCAGCAGACGCCTCTGAAATCCAATGGTTCGTTTAAAATACTAGTAGATATCACTTCTGTTTTCACGGCTTTTTGGATATCGTGCTAAGTTGCTTCAGGGTAGGTATCACTTTTATGATTGACTAAATCCTCAGATTGTTCCCGAAATATATTCCTAATTTTTCCATCATGAATTTGAACTCTAGGAGGTTTTATCGCCGTGGCTTTTTATATCCAGTAAGATGTAGACATATGCTCGAACTAGACCATGATCTGAGTCTATACATGTGCTACCGAATAGCAGAGTGTTTTATCAAGCTTCTCAAATGATGGCATTGTGGTCTGTGTAAGTCAATTGTGAGAACCATCACATCAGATGACGTTTTTCCTTGTGCTTATAATTGGTGCTTACTAGAAATAGACGTTTATCCAAGCACAATTGCAATGGACGGTCCCTATTATCTGTTCGCTGAGCCGTGACACCTTAAGACCCATCTTATTGTGTTTCGGTTTGTTTTAGTGCACCTACTTGACCATTAAAATCTCTCGCCACTATTACTGAATCAGTGTTCAACTTTTTGAATAAGGTTGGATAGCTTCCTATAAAATTCAATTTTAACTTCATCTGGGCTGCAATCAGGGGGAGAGTAGGAAGAGAGGACGGCATATGTCTCTTACTGTCCCGTTTTTGCCGGACAGCGCACAAGTGACCGTCTATTTAATTTAAGTTTAACAGGATCTGTTCTACTTTCGAACTTAATACTATGGCCGCACCAGCGAGGCCACGGAAAGTAGCGGCGGGGTTTCTAGTTACGTGAAGGGTAAATCGTGCCGGTTCTTCATATTAACAAGATGAGGTCAAATGAGTGACCACCTGGATTCTTTATGTGTGTTTTGGCGTAGCAGCATAAATCGATTGAACGATATTCAAGAGTTCTAACTAAAGAAGCCTATTGTCCAATCTGACACGGTTCGGATATTAAAACCATTGACACGTAGTTTAGAGGGTGGTTTCAGGAAACTGGGAATAACATTTCGTGAACTCAAATCATTACCATTTGTGGCCTGTAGTGATAAAGATATGCGGTGAGGTTAGTTTTAGGGACGGGGAGATTAATAATACTGAGGGAAGGGTTTGATCATGAACGAGACGATCTCGAGTGGCATAAGAGGAGGTATGAAGTCGATTGTCACTGTCCGGGTCCCAACACCGTAAGGAGACAATTCTTCGTGAGCGACCTGAGGAGGAAGCTAGAGTAGTGGTGGTCACAAAAACCTGGCAGTGTGGCTACAAAGCCTAAGGATTAACTACATGAGGTCAGTCGCGCACGGCCTTTTTATGGGAAGTTTTTGATGTGTTAGCTCCACACTTCACAAGGCCTTAATGCTGGAGACGTAAATATGTAGGGTAAGTTGAGGTTTGATATTTTTAGGGTTGACCTTTTCTAACCCCTTCATCCGTTTTGAGAAGATAGAATTGCTGTAAATGTTGGTTGTCCGAGGGAAACACCTCACACCCCTCGACGGTCAGCAATATGACTTCTCACTTAAGTCTTATTTTTTTGCTTTTGGTCTTACCGTTCTTTGACCGAACTGCCTGGCACGGTTGGATCTAAAATAACGTGTCTCAGCCAATATTGGCTCGGTTGAGTCATCATGACAGGCAAGCCTAAGCACTACGTCAAGGTGGCAGCTGCGGACTGAATAAATTGTAGCTTAAACTTTTTCGTTAGTTGTGTAACTGGAAGCAGTTGACTGGAAATGAAGAATGGTACGAGTAAATCTCGGATTGCCAAAACTCCAAAAAGAGGTCACTAAACAATGATTTAGTTTGCGAAGGAAGCAGTAGAGATCCTTGTCGTACCTAATGAAACATAGAGGCTCTCAGTTCTAATCTTGTAAAG